CCTTCTGAGTAAGTTGCTGGACAACTGTACATTTACCTAAAAGCGTGAGAATTTCATGATAATTTTTTACGGATTAAGTTACTCAAATGAATAAAGTACTTTATAAATCTACATTCAAAACACAATAAAATAATGTTCGTTTGGTAAAAGAAAATTTCTGAGTAGGCGAAATTTTACTTTTTCATATCAAAAACCTTTAAAAACGAATAACTTTTCTTCTGCACGCTAAAAAAAGATAAAAATTACTGTAAAAATGTTTTTTTTATATAACATTTCCATTGCATAATTTGAAATTTCTATATCTTATTTACATTTCCTGTAATAAACTTTGTGACAACCAACCCGCGTGACAACCAACCCCGCTCTCCCCTATATATATATATATATTATTAAAAAATTAAAACTAAAAGAAGCAATTTTAGGGGTTGCCATGTTTTATAAGATAGATTTTCTCAAATTTTGCAAATTTGTTTTTTCATTGTTTATTTATTTATAATTTAGAAATTGATAATATGGCAACCACTAGATCTTCTGCTGAGGTGTGGCTTGTTGGTAAACCTACACAAACTCTGTCGACTGCCAGACTTCCTTCAAGAGGGGATGTTCTTTGGAGGTTGCTCTTCCATCATATAGAAGAGAAACAAGAAGTGAAAAAAAGTATTTGGGCAACAATTGAAGCAGTTCTTGTTATATGGGAGAGAGGAAAAATTCCAACTCAAAGAATTGACAATGCGGAAAGAAAGTTAAAAAAACTTTATGACAAATATCTGCTGCTGAAAAAACACCGAGGATCAAAATTGGACAGCTGTCAAATGAAAGAAGGAATTTTCCACGCTGACCTTGAAGAACTTTTTGATATTTCAACCAAGAATGCATCAGAAGTTATGAAAAACGATGAAGATAAAGCATTTTTACGTCAGCAGCAAGAAGATCCATTAAGTTGTAGTATGGCAGGAATTGATCGGAATTTAACAGCTAAGGAGGCACGGAAACGAGTCCGAGAAACTAAAATGGAATTGAGGCGTCAAAGAAGTCAAGCGAAACTGATGGAAAAAACAGAACTCATTTCTTCTTCATCAGCAGTTGACATTGTGAGTAAAAGTAGCTCTAGTTCCTCGGATGATGATGTATATCAGACTCCTTCCGCTTCCAGCACACTGAGCACAAGTGGTTCAACAAAAAAGAAGATGAAAGTTCTAACAAATAATGTTGTATCATCTCTTGATCGTGTTAATATTTCTGATCGCCGTGCACTCTTCGTGGTTGGAACAGTGTCTCAGGCTCTTGGTCACTCGGTAAAAGATTTATCATTGTCAAACAGCACAATCCGCAGAAAAAGGCGATCTGTTCGTGAAGCGGTGACTACAGCTGACAAGGTTGATTTCTCTCCTGATGATCCACTTCTTCTGCATTGGGATGGAAAGCTCTTACCTGATATCACTGGTGGTCAAAAAAAAGTGGATAGAATTGCCATCTTTGTGACTGGTGGTGGGGTGGAATAATTGCTGGGCGTTCCAAAGATTGATCGAGGTACAGGTGAGCAACAGGCTGATGCTTGCATGAAGGCTCTTAAAGACTGGAAATTGAAAGAACTTGTTCGGGGACTGGTTTTTGACACTACTTCATCTAACACTGGGTTGAACATTGGTGCCTGCACAATAATGGAGCAGAATCTTGACCGTAATCTTATATGGATAGCATGCAGGCACCATATGTTTGAAGTCATGCTTTCCACCATTTTCACGACTGCATTTGGAACCAGTGGAGGACCTGAAGTTGGAATTTTTAACCGTTTCCAGAAACAATCGCCAGCAATCAACAAGGAGGTGTTCACTATAGGGAATAAAGAATTTTACAACTGCGATTTTTTTCTCAAACTCCGTGAAGAAATGGTAGTATATTATAGTGAAGCAATTAAAGGTCAACAACCCAGGGATGATTACTTAGAACTCTTGAATTTGTGCCTTATTTTTCTTGGAGGATCAACTACAACATCGGAGTTCAAAGTGAAGTTTCGGGCTCCAGGTGCAACACACAATGCACGTTGGATGGCAAAAGCTATATATTGTATAAAGATATATTTGTTTCAGGATCAATTTGTTATTACTGCAAAAGAAAAGAAAGGAATAACAGATATAAGTCTTTTTGTGGCATTTGTATACGGACAGTTTTGGAATGAAGCACCGTTAGCTGAATGAGCACCATTCAATGATGCCAAGCTTCTTCAACGGATTCAAGAATATCCAAATCGTACAATTGCAACTAATGCAGCAAAAGCTTTTCATCGTCACCTCTGGTATTTTTCTGAACATCTAATAGGATTGGCTTTCTTCGATTCCCGTGTCGACAACAACACCAAGAGAGACATGGCAAACAACCTGAAACAACAGCCAAGGCAGAAATCTCTCAAAAGACTTGATGCTGCCACATTCGATTGTCACAGCCCATTGCCTTCCTTCGTCACACAACGCACCGCAGAACTTTTCGATCTAATTTTGAAAAATGGAAAAGAAAAAGCTGAATCATTTTTAATGAAAGAATCTTCAGAGTGGGAAATGGATTCAACATATCTTGAAATGAAGCACAAGATTGGTCAAATGAAAGTCGTCAACAATTGCGCGGAACGAGGCATAGCACTTATAACATCCTTTAACTCAAGCGTTACGAAAGATGAAAACCAAAAGCAGTTTCTTCTTAGATTGGTTGATCTTCACCGGAAGGAATTTCCAGTTGCATCAAAGTCTACCCTGATGAAGATGACTGTTGAATGATGAAGATGATTGATTTATTATTGCCTAGTGCAATTACATAGTAGTACTATAGTATTGATTTTTTTAACATTGAACATCCACAATCCACCACATAATAATAAGAAATTGATAATAAATAATTCAGTAATATAATATAAAAAAATGTAAAAATAAAAAATATTTTTTTTACTTTTTGTAACCTTATACCAAAATGTGACAAAACATGGCAACCCCTAAATATCATCCAATTTGATTCAAATTTTGGCCAATAACTACTATTGTCATATAGAACAAGGGCAAGCTTGAGGACAACTAAAGTTTTGAACCTACAAATTTTGCATCACCCTAATATATATACATCTACTTTACAGGTCATGTCAGCTAATATATATATATATATATATATATATATATATATATATATATATATATATATATATATATATATATATATATATATATATATATATAATGACCTGTAAAGCAGATGTCTAGGGACTTTATTTCATGGCTACCTCTATTTTATACTTATCAACTATTTATCTTTATTATTTATTAAGACAATTATTTATTTGTTACTTATTTATTTATTAAGACAAGTAGTGCAAAACTTAGAGAAATCATTCAACATATTTGATTCAGCTAGTTCAACGATCTCCTAAATAAATAACTACATAAATGAACAAATATAATACACACACTTTTTATTTTATTTTTATATTTATAAAACTATTAATAGGTGTTATTTATGAAACTAGCAGTCATGACCTGTAAAATACAGGTCTAGAAGACCTCTGTTTTAATACTTACTTAACTATTTATCTATTCTCTATTTCTTTACTTCAATGTTTTTTGAATAAATAGTAGGTAGCAAAAAAAAAAAAAATTAAAAATGCACACTTTATTCGCATGTTTAGATTTCATGAGAATTCTTATGGTGAGAATTTTAAATAAATAAATGTCAGAACTTTTACCCCATTTTTTTATTTCAAAAGAAAAAGTCTCAATTGAATGAAAACACCTTTTTAATAAAGAAAATCATCTTTTTAATGTCCAAAATGGACAGATTAACTTATTGATTGCGCAAACACTTAACATAAGTATCTCTAACATAGATGGCAATTGTATGACATTTCTTGCAGCGCTTTTTAAAATTCAAGACTTAAAAAATAAGTTTTCAATCATCCATCAAGACTTTATTAAATTTACAAAGTAAAAAAGGAACAGGAAAATGAGTCATGGGGAGGTAAGTATATCAAATCTGCTCCTTAATAAAAAACAGTTTCAATCTAGGCATATATATTTATAGTAAAAAAAAAAGTATATACTTTTAGAAAAATATAAATATAGCAAAAAAAACTTTTAATTGTTAAAATAAAGTTATAAAGTTTTTGCTAGCTATGGGCTTTTTTTTTTTTTTTTTTGTTTCTACGGTACCACCTTCTGGAGTAGCAGAATGGGCTTTTTAATTTTTTTCTTTATTAAGTTTCAGACATGATTTTTTTTTAGATCATTTGCAGCTTATTAGGACTAACTACCTGAGCACGTTAGTAACATAACTATCTTGACATATGCGCAACAAGTTTCTACCGGCGTTTTGATATTTTTTTTAAATTTTAAGCTTTTTTAAAAATTCTCTCTCTTTTGTTTGTTACAGTGTATAATATCTTTACATATGTTATGTACATAATTTCTATAAAACTTCATAATTGTAACATTTTGTATTGTAAAAAAATCAGAAAAAAAAGTTTAAAAAAAGTTTCCAGTGATAGCATTTGAACCACAACATTTTGCTTCTGAAACTTTACAAGCTAACCATTCAGCCAAACAGGTGTGTTAACTGACAATGACTTTAGAACTATTTAACAATTAAAAGGCTTAATGAAATGGAAATAAATGCTATATATCAAATTTAGGGAGATGTTACTGTAATGCAATTTTCAAGTGAAAATAAAACTGCAGAACTTGATATATGTTTTAACATTACATAGTTTGAAGTTTACATAAGTTAGATATTTGGATATACTTCTATTCACATTTTCTTATAAAAAAGTGCTGCAATTCTATATATATATAGCCCTTGTAATTAGGGTCAGCATTTGGCTATGCAGACCTTTTGCTGTCCTTGTTTCTATATTTTTATAGTGAAATTATTTGTTTAAACCTAATGCCGACCTTATTTTTTCTAATCGTTAGGGGTGTATATACATAAGTTTGTTTAATTTTTTTAAACTGTTTGAAAATTTTTAGTGGTTTGGTAACTTGGTGACTTGTGCATGGTGGAATGACCTATGGATTCAAGAAGGTTTAGCAAGTTACTTGGAATATTATACTTTAAATAGTTCTCATCCAGAATGGAATGTGGTATATACATTATCATATATAGTTTATTATTATATCTATATTTTGTATGTTGACATTAAAATGTAGCGTATACGTTTGCACATGGTTTTTATATTCTATAGATTTTATGTCATCAGTTGTGTACGTTGTCTTGTTTATAACATACTGCCATATTGTCTTTATCTTTTGTAATATTTCACTGAAAATGGTTTGTAATTTGTTTAGTAAATTTGCAGTTTTGATTTTTCAATCTAATAGTTTTTAAAACAAGTTTATAGTTTGAATTTTATTTCTTATTTAATAGATTTGGTATTTTCTTGTTCTAACAATATATATGCATAAATAATATGTTGTGACAAACTAAAAACATTTTACAAAAAGGTTGTGTTTTGTTATTATTATTAAAGTAGTTTGTTTTATATATATATTTATTTTTTTTATTTTAGTTTGATGAGTTTTTGACATCTGATTGGCTAACTGGAATTACTCTTGATGCACTTGCTTCATCTCATCCTATTTCTCAAAATGTGGACCACCCTAGCCAGATTAAAGAAATATTTGATTCCATTACATATAATAAAGTAGGTTATGGTATAGTAATGTACTGATTAATCAGGATTAGCTTAATTGGCCGCATTTTGCACAGTCAACATTGCCAATATTCTGAACAATGTGTTTTGTAAATTTTTTAACTTGCCTTATAAAAATATTAGTTAAACATTAAAAATAAAAAGGTTAAAATGCAAAACAAAAAATAAAACAAAAAAAGTTGAAAATTAGGAAAGAATTAAAAAAAGAAAGAAAACAAGATCATTTTGGAACGTTTATTCATTTTTGAAAATTGTTTTCTGTTACTTTGCATTTATTTGCACTAACATTTAACTGGATTTAACGTTTAACGTTTAACTGGACCCAAATAAAAAGAGTATCTTCAGAAATTTGAAGCTTAAATTAAAAAAAAAAAATTTTTTTTGCACCTGACAAAACTCTTTTCTCAGAATGTTGCTAATATAAGTTCTGCATCTTTCATAGTTTGTAGAAATTTTGTAATTTGTTCAAGAGAAGTGACAGAGCAGAAAAGAAAAAACTGAACAGAAGTTTACCTTATAATAAATCCACCTTATCTTATACTACTAGAAAAAAATTTTGGTTACTGCAGTAGAGCATTTTAGGAAATTTTAATGTCCTAAAATTTCCACTTATAAGAAAATTTAAATGTAGCTATACTTTTCCACTTATAAGAAAATTTTAATTTAGCTATACTTTTCCACTTTAAGAAGATTTTTAGATTTTTGAACTTGGTTAGTTAATTGTTATCTACCTTTTTCTGTTTATTTGACACTGGCATTTGTCATAAATTTGCAATCACTACATCGCTATTATATTTACTTCACATTATGATGATTTTGAGATGATTATTAATTATGCATATGATGATAATTGAATAATAATAAAAATAATAATAGTAACAATAATAAATATAATATAAATAATAATATAAAAAATATTAATAAAAATAATAGTAGTAACAATATAAAAATAACATTTATGATAATTATGATCACGCTTATGTATGAGTATAATAAAATATTTTATAAATATGTTTAGGGTTCTTCATTATTTCATATGCTTGACTTTTATCTGGACTCAAATCATAATCTTTTTCGAGCTGGCCTTGAAGTAAGTTTTTTTTTTTTTTTTTTTTTTTTTTTTTTTTGGGGGGGGGGGGGGGAAGGGTAATTATTACTCCTATATATTTAGGTTTTATATTTTTTCTTTTCCCTATACTTTTAGGAATACATACTTTAATTGAATTACTCTTTCACAAAAAAGAAAAAGAGTAATTAAATAATTAAATAATAAAGAAGAAAATAGTTGTAAAAATACAAAACTAACAGCTACACAAAATAAAAGTGGGTCGTGGGTAGGTTAGGATATAAGTTGACAACAATGGCGGACATTAACATGATAACAAAGCCTAAGTTTAGAAAAAGTATTTTTAATAAGATTTAGTAAAGTTTAAAAATTATTTTTATTTAGTTTGATTCCAATTCTCTGACTTCTTTGAAAACTAATTTGATTCTTACATGATTAGATGCAACAGATGAGATGATGTAACAACATAGATTAGAGACATTGCTGTTGAAAATAAAAAATAAAGTAACACTATTAAAATAAAAAGCCCTACAAATTTTATTATAGTATCAAGTTTTAAAGCTGTCTTCAAAAGATTGTTTTTAAAATTGCCTTAATTTATTTTTCATGACTGTGAAACAGACGATGAAGATGAGCTTTTTCTGCTGAGCAATTCAATACCAAAATTTGGGATTAGATGATAACTCTTTGGCGGCATTGTGGTTGCAGGTACAGGGTATATTGTGCTTCCTAGAATTATGTTTTAACCATGACAATATTAATTTTTCTAAAACAAGTTTCTATTTACAAAGCCTTTTTTTATTGTACATTTTAACGAGTAAATGATTTTCCATATAACACAACATCTTTTTGCAAATAGCATGCACAGGCATACAACAATAATACAAAATTTTTGAAAATAATATACCGTGAGTGAATATTTCAAAGGTTTAAAATCAGAATGAATATTTATACAACTAAGGTAACTCTTAAAGGTTTTTTAAGAGTTACCTTAGTTGTATAATTTTTTTTTCTTTTTTAACTCTCTTCTTCCAACAAGGCTTCAAGAAACCACTATTTACACGTAACAAGGCTCCAAGCAACCACTATTTAGGATTAACAGAAAGCAAAGAAGTTAGTTAAAGAGCAATAAAATGGTTGACAGAAGTCTTATATTACTGTAAATTGTATTAGTCAAGAAAACATGAAGACAAAAGTGAATTCCAATTCATTGATGTTTTTTTATAAAAAACAGATAAATAAAGTTTTTTTAGCTTAAAGACACAGTTACATTAAAAGAGTGATTGCTGATTGACGTTCAAACTAGAGATGATAGCTTGTTTAAGCAGGGACCATGATAGTATTTGTAGAAAAGAGAAAGAAATGTATGATAGTATTTGTAGAAAAGAGAAAGAAACTTTATGAGGATTGAAATATTTTTAAATTATTAAAAAAAAGTTTTTTAAGGGAGCCTGGGATAACCTAATATAACTTATGAGCAAAAGTTTTATAATTCATTAAAAGTTTGATACTACTTTTATTATTCAATTTTAAGAGACATCCCATAATGCTTTGTTTTTAAAATTACAGTTATTCTAATTTATTGGAAGTTGGCAAGTCTTGGTACAGATTAAATTTACTTATGCTCTCTAACTGACTTATAGTTTTAAATTTAGTTTACTATGCACAAAGTAAGAAAAATTCTTCTAGTTATTAAAAAAAACAAATTTATTTTTTATTTATTTAACCTTGGAAATATTTCTTAATTTTTTAGAAATTGTTTTAGAAATATTTGACCAAATATCAATATCAAGGTGCTACAACTAATGATTTATGGGTTGAGTTTACTCAGGTAAGCTTTTTTATGTATGTTGACAGATTTAAAATTATAAAAGTTTAAAAAGATAAAAACATAAATAAAAAATACACATACACAATTTACTTCATATGCATACTTAACTTCATGTGCGCAATTTACTTAACAGTAGTTAGTTTGAACTTAGTCCTGATTTTTAAATTAGAATATAAGACAATCAAAATAATAAACAATGATTTTTTCTTGTCAGAAAACTTTGTATGCTTTTAACTATATAACTGTAAATCTTGTAACTATATATACTGTAGGCCTTGTAGGCCTGATTTAGAGTTATCAAACTAGTTGGTGTACAACCTTCTGTACTAAATCTTGTATACCCTCTTTTTATATCTACGACTCTGAAATAAGAACTTTTTATAAATTTATAATTGTTTAGTAAATAGTTTGTAGTTAAATGAATTAAAATAGTATTAAATTCACTTCCTAAAAGGCTTCAACAACTATTTAAGTTAAGAGTTACTATATGTTGAAGAAAGAGGAAGAAGTTGATGAAATTAGAGAGAGTAAACCAGAATGAAACTGATTGGTAGAATACTTAAAAAACTGTTTAGTATTATTAAGCATAAAGTTATAACATTATACATAAAAATTTTAATGTAAGTTGCTATTAACAGTTGTAATTATGTTTAAACATAAACATATTAAAAATAATATAAATACCTTTATCTATCGTTTACAAATATTTGTAAGTTTTTACAAATATTTGTAATAAATATTTGTGGTCTTTGAAGTAAGTCTTTAACTTTAATAGTTAACTGAGTGACTCAATTTCTGGAAAACCCTTATCACTGGGGGTGCACTGGATTGGAAATTTTGAATTCAGGCCAGAAATGGATTTGCTGGAATTGTAAATAAAATTCCAAAACAAGAGTTATATTTGTGTAATTTTTTTACTTTCAAAATTGAAATTGAAAGCTTGCACCTCAACATCGAGGCTACATAATATATATTTATAACCTATAATATATATAATCAATTTCGTTAATATGATTCTTCTTTCATTTAAATCTAATATGTTGTTTTTATTTGTTTCTTATAGTTTTCTTTTTTGAAAGTTTTATCCTGCATAATATTTGTATTTAAAATTATTTCTTTGTTTTCTATTTTTCCATTTAGGTTAAAATTGAAGTATTTTCTGTATTAGGCATCCTATACTTTTTAATTATTTAAAATTTAAGTAACATTTAAAATGAGACAATTCTCAAAGACAGGTAACATTTTGAGGAAAAAAGAGCTAGTTTGTTGCCCAAAACTGGATAGTAACTCTTTTTAAATATTCCTAAACTAAATCAATTATGTAAGGATTTCTAGAAGTATAAACAATATTCCTAAACTTCTAGAAATCCTTACATAATTGATTACTGCAAATAAAATTACATTGTATTTGTTAAGAATTTTGTTTTTTTACCTAGGTTTACCTACAGTTCTTCATTGCCCTGTAGGACAATGATTTTTGAATTTATTTTACACAGTCTGTGTCACATGTCTTAAAAAAAAAGGTAAAAAAAAAAAATTCCGGCGTTCCGAAATATTGTAATCTCTTGATTGTAATGTCCCCACTCTTTTTGTCAACCTAGAGAATAAACACTTAGATGTTGTTTAACACTCAGAGAAATAGGTTGATAAACACTCAGACTTCTGTATCTAAAGTTATTTCTCACTAAAATTCTTGTGCAGCTTGTGATCCAATCAATATTTCTGTCACAGCAAAAGCATTCTCCACAGTTTTACAAAAGTGCTCTCCACAGTTTAGCAAAAGCATTCTCCACAGTTTTCCAAAAGTGATCTCCACAGTTTTACAAAAGTGATCTCCACAGTTTAGCGAAAGCATTCTCCACAGTTTTACAAAAGTGATCTCCACAGTTTAGCAAAAGCATTCTCCACAGTTTTACAAAAGTGATCTCCACAGTTTTACAAAAGTGATCTCCACAGTTTAGCAAAAGCATTCTCTACAGTTTTACAAAAGTGCTCTCCACAGTTTAGCAAAAGCATTCTCCACAGTTTTACAAAAGTGATCTCCACAGTTTTACAAAAGTGATCTCCACAGTTTAGCGAAAGCATTCTCCACAGTTTTACAAAAGTGATCTCCACAGTTTTACAAAAGTGCTCTCCACAGTTTAGCAAAAGCATTCTCTACAGTTTTACAAAAGTGATCTCCACAGTTTTACAAAAGTGATCTCCACAGTTTAGCAAAAGCATTCTCCACAGTTTTACAAAAGTGATCTCCACAATTTTACAAAAGTGTTCTCCAAGAACTCTCTTTAGTACTTTCTAAAGAGTTTAATTTTATTTTCTGCTGGGAAAGTTGCATTTGTGATTCCTATTTTTTAGGCAACCAAAAAGTGGTTCTAAGCAACCAAAAAGTTTTATTAAGTTTAAAAATTCTAAGCAACCAAAAAGTGATGAATTTTAGTCAAGACTAAAGTATATAGTTGTCATAGAGTTGTTGAACTTAAAATGAGTTACTACGAGTTTATTTATTATGAACTTCTAATGACTCATTAAACAAATTTTTTATGGACCACAAACACTCCTGGATTAGATCAAAGCCCATGTGCTACCACTATACCACAACCACATTGACATTTATTGTTTTTTTTAGAAACTTGTAATCTCTTTTTAATCACTACATTGATGATAATACTAAAGCTGCCATAGTTATCAAAGTTGCTATGGTTATTAAAGTTGCTATGGTATCAGTTTTTCTCTGAGTACAAAAAGCAAATCCACCCAAATGTTTAAACTTTAAAGAGTTCATGCACTTCTAAAAAATGTATATTACACTTTGAATAGTCTTAATTCTTTTTTCAAGAAATGGACAAGAAGGTTTTTTTTGCCTAAGCATCCATTTTATCGGATATTGATAAAACTTTCCAATAAATGCTAGCAAATTTAAAAGATTGTGAAGGTGAAAAATGGTTGTGCAAAAAATTAGGTTGTACTTATCCAACTTTATGATTCTTCTCTGGAAAAAGATGAATCTAAGAATTATGGTGTTTGCTGCGAATCATATCAGAAGCAAATTCTATCAAAAGCTATTAGTTTACATTTACACTTGGTTTCTATAGAAACTAGTGCTTGATTTTTAGTATTTTAATTTTTTTTTTCTCCTTTGTTTATTTCGTCTTTTAACTTTCGATTTGCTTTTTTGTAGGTTATAGCGTTTGTTAATAGATAATTGTATTCTTCTTTTGACAATTTACAGGTTATTTTATTCTTCTTTGGACAGTTTATACATATTTGATATTTTGTCAGCTTGTGTTTTTGTGAAATTTTTTCATACTATATTTTTTCATACTATTTTAAAAATTGTTTAAAAATTTTCAACAACTTTCAAAAAGTTGTTCAGCAAACTTGACCATATTATGGTCAAGTTTGCAAATTTGTTTATTAATGAAAACTATTATCATTGTAAAATGAAAAAGTCATTTTAAAAATAAACCAGTAATTGAGTTACCAAACCATTATTATTATTAGAAAATTTAAGAATTAATAAACCATTTAATTGCATAATAAACTGCACTGCTTTTTTAAAGGCAAAATAATAATAATAAAAAAAAAGAGCGCATATAAAAAAAAAATTTTTTAATTAAATTAATCAGTTAGATTGGTTTGTTAAATAAACAATCAGTTTCTTATAAAAATGTCATTATGAAAAAAATAATTGGTTATACTAAATAAATCTTTTTCTTAGTCACTATGTTTTCCTATTAAAGTTATTATTTAAAATTTAGTTTATAATATTAAAATATTTTTTACAATACATTTGAAAAATAAGTCTTTTTAAAAGTTTTAACTCTTTTGAATGTTTTCACATTCTTTTTGAATGTTATAACTGCTTTTTTTTTTATTTTGTGCTAACTCATATTTATATAATATAAAATTGTTACACACTTAATTACTGCATAATAATTTTATGCAATAATTTAGTAATAATATTATGTAATAAGTTGCATATTTTATATATTAATTAAAATGACTGATATAAATTTGTTTTAATTCAAGCCAAAATGTAATGCTCAATTAAATGTTCTGCGTAAAAAAATTGAAATTATATAAACACTTTTTATTGTGGAAATTGTAGTTGCTGTAATAATTCTTAAACTTTTTTAGAATTCTAATAATTAAATGAAAAGCTAGTGTGAAAACCCAAAGAAAATGCTCTTCTGAGGAATTTTTTCACAGCGCGATAAACAACACTTGTTATGTATATATTCTTGTAATACTATTATTGCAAGCGTATTCTTTTCCAGCTCTTGTCAGACTTTTTCTTATTTATTTTGAAGGCAGAGCACATTCCTTTATAACTTTATATTTTCAATCAACTTTTTTTTGTAACTTGTTTTGTGTTACATGACTGATTGCTTTCAACCATGAAAGTATTAGTACCATAAAATACTGTGTTTTGTTATATATATATATATATATATATATATATATATATATATATATATATATATATATATATATATATATATATATATATACACATATATATATATATATATATATATATATATATATATATATATATATATATATATATATATATATATATATATATATATATATATATGTATATATATATATATACACATAAATGTGTGTGTATATATATATATATATACACACATGTATATATATATATACACACATGTGTATATATATATATATATATATACATAAATGTGTGTGTATATATATATATATATATATATATATATATATATATATATACATATATATATATATATATATATATATATATATATATATATATATATATATATATATATATATATATATATATATATGTATATATGTATGTATGTATGTATGTATGTATGTATGTATAAATTTATTAGGTTGCAAGCTGGAATGTTACTGAAATGATGGATACATGGACACAGCAAATGGGTTTCCCTGTCATTACTATTAAAAAAACAAGTGACGCTTTTTCAATTGAACAAAGTCATTTTTTGGTTGATCCAACTGCTACTGTTACTACCAAGTCAAAATTCAAGTAAGTATATTTGAATCAAAGTATAAATTTTATTTTATAGATAATAATAGTAAAGTTTATATACCATAATAAAATTGATAACATAATGTAAATATAATAGTAAAGTCTTTAATTTCAACATTAAGTTTTACTTAAAAAAAAGGTAATATAGAAATCCAGAAAAAGTATAAAAACTTGACTAAGATTATTTTTTAAATTGATTGTTTGCCTGCCCAAAGTAAAACCTTCATTTGATGTATATACACTTTCTGAATGTTCTATCTATTTATATTAGTCAATGTTTGTACTCTCCCTTGTATATTCTGCCTATTTAAGTTAGTTAATGTATGTACAACAGTGTGTACATACAGTAATGTATGTTGCACTAATCCTTAAACAAATCATTAATAAAAAATGATGAAAAAACAATTATATAAATCAAATTTAATTGAATATTAAAGGGATCCTAAAGTGCCAAGACAAGTTGTGTTCATTTTAAAGAGAATGATAAAAAAAAATGTTTGGGGAGAAAAAAAAAGTAAATGTATACCAAGAAAAACAAACTTTGTTGTTTTACTCGAAGCTTGCCACCCCAATGTTAGCCAATCTCTCAAAGTCTTTAAAATATACACTGCAATCTACAGACTTTATAATTTGTTTAAGCGTGTTTAATTCCAAAGACTTTTTGTATATGATGTCATTGTAGAATTTTTTCTTTTGAATAAATATTATTTGTTTTTGTTTTATTTGTTTTTTAAAAAAAGCGTTTATCATCAATCGTATGACTTTCATATAAATTTTATAAGAAGCTAAACAAAAGAATGTTTTTTTATAGAGTGGGCGAGAACCAAATGAATTTAAGATTTTTATGATAAAATATAATAAATATTCAAAAAAGACGTTGATCACCTTATTATATATTCTGAATCTTTTTTCTTTTTATGTAAACAATGTGAACTTTTTTTCTAGTTTATCACTATGACATTTTTGTTCTCCTATTGTTTTGACATTTTACAATTTTTTTAAATTTTAATTAATAAAGAATTTTGGTAAACAACATCATTTATTAGAGATATTTGCTGAATTCTTAAATTTTTAGTTAGAAAATATTTATAGATTTTACACTTAGCAAATTTACAGACAGCATTTTATTAATTAAAGCAATAATTAATGTTTTATGGCAATAATTCAAGACAGATGGCAATTAAAATAGTCAATCTGTTGTAGCGCGATTTAAAAAACATATTATATTTAATACTTCCCAATTTATGTTTAATTTGGCAAGTATTTTACATTAAAAACTTTTTTAAAAGTCTTTTAAAATTACAAATTAAAAAACTACCAATATTGACAATAAAAATTTTTTCATTAAACAATTTCAGTTTTAAAATTTACTTGATAATGCTACACTTTTTTTGCAATCTTGACCAATAATTGTTCAATTTTGATAATAAAAATAATAAAATAAGCAATACATATTTACATAACAAATTTCATTTAATATATTCTCGCATGATTAAATAAGAATTTTGAGAATACATGTACCCAATGAAAAGTTAGGCAAATAAATGCTGTCAATTAAACTTTTATAAGGTTAAGTCTTTTTCTACCAGCGGTTTTAACAAAAATCTTTATTTTGTGACAACACATTTTTTTGAATAAAATTTGGAAAGCATAACATTGACAACTAATTAAAATTCGAATAGTAAATCTATTTAAAAGCATAACAAACTATATATCAATAGAAAGCTAAACAAATGAACTTTTTCATTAAATAAGTTTTTAACACGCATCATTAAACAATAAAAAATGCAAAGTGCTTAAAACAATTGTTTTATAAATAGTAATTAAAAAATAAAGTCCAAAACAAAATCCATTTAATGTATAAAATGAATGTTTTTTGAGATAAAAAAAAGTTTTTAATTACTTAGTTTAATTCTTATAAACTTCTACGAGTTAAATTTTACAGTGTTAACGCTGCTTTATTTTAGAAATAAATTTAAAGAAGTTTTTTTAACCAAGGATTACTCAAGATTTTTCATCTTTGTCAAGTGATAATTTTTTATATTAACACAATATGGTTCTTATTTGTTCTTGATTATGTAGAGAATTAATTAAACCTTTAGAACAAACAAATTATGTGTCCAGAGTGAAAATTTATGTACAAAACAAAATAAATTGTGAAGCATATTCAAAATTGCAGTCAAAATTAGAAAAAATCAAAAGCAGCTGTCAGCAGCTTGCGGTAGTGTTAAATAAGACAAAATAACTTTTTTAACAGAATCTTTATAAGGATAATAATCATTTAATAACAATAAATATAACACAAAAAATTGTTTATAGCAATACATAAGTTTAAAATATCTGAAATATTTTATTTATATTTTTAATGCGAACTTCACGAAATTTAGAAAATAAAATAACTAAAAAGTTCTACAGTTTTTTATGATAAAAAACTTTTATATAATAATAAGTAACTAAACAAATTCTTTAGTAATCTATAATAATAACAAATAAAAATAATATTTTTTGATAAAAAAAAATAAGAATGAATTTTCAGATTTCTTATCGAAATTCTGCAATGAAGTCATTTACTAAACTCTTTGAAATTAAAGGCGCTTGAATAAATTATAAAGTCTCTAGATTGCGGCGTATATTTTAAAGACTTTAAGAGATTGGCTAACATGGAGACGGCAAGCTTTGAGTAAAACAACAAAGTTTGTTCATCTTGGTATACATTTATTATTTTGCTTTACTTAAAAAAGTTCTGCCTAAACATTTTTTTTAATCATTCTCTTTAAAATGAACACAACTTGTCTTGTCACTTTGGGATCTCTTTAAAAAGAGTAGAATTTAAAAAAAAAATACAAAATAATTAGGTTTAATTAGTTTTTTAACAAAATTAGATAAGTGTTTTAACTAATTTATTATTTTTCTGTTCTTTAAGAACATGGAGCACTCTATTTGTAAAATACACTAACATAATTTACATATATATATTATATATGTATATGTCAGGCTTGGTCAGGAAGTGGGTGCGATCACACTCTATTCCTGACCACGCAAATTTTATTTAGTTGCAACAACTTGGCCATGGCTTTTTAGATGTTTTGAGAACATTTAAATTTATATATGTTTCCGTGTATGTCCGAAACTATTTGACACGCTTAAACAATTAAATTTGTAAATAATCTTTTGTAATCAACTGTTTTAATATTAGCTAAAGGCTTTTAAACTAAGCGATGATTTAATTTTATTGATGGTTTAATATTTTTTTATTTATTTATTTTTTTTTAACTTTATAAAATTAAGTAGTTTTTATTAAAAATATGCAATAATATAGATAAGTTTTTTATTTTTTAAATGTAAGTCTTTTAAAAATGTTTATGCAATCAATTTAAAAAAAATAAAACTTTCAACAACTGCGTTTTCAATAAAATTTAAAAAATAGTAATCAACAAATTTAATAAAATTATCAATCAAATAAACATACAGGAACTTACAGGTGACTAAACATAAACATACATATATCAGGCTTTCCCAGGAAAGGCGTGTGGTCACACTCCTTGTTTGTCCACGCATAGAATAAATTTTTCAGAAAACGTGACCGCGGCAATATTTCGTGGGAAAGCGAAACTTATCCACAGAGAATAAAAAATAATATTAAAAAAAGGAAACGAAGTCTAAACAAAGTATAAAATTGAAATTGGATGTAAGAAAAATATTTTAATAATTAAAAAAAAATTAAAAAAAAATAATTCTTGTAAGAAAAAAAAAAAAAGTCTTGAACATTTTGTTCAAAATTTTTATGCTGTTTTTTTTTTTTTTTTAAGGGTTGCTATTTTTAGCTACGAAATTTGATACAAGTCAAGGAAAAGACGACTATAAGTCATTAAGTTTTCATGAAAATAAAAAGACTTGGTACGTAATTTATTCACGAACTTTATCAGACAATGTATTAAAAAACTGATTCATTATTTACGCTAGACAAATTTAGTTAAATTTTTCATTTAATTTAGTTTTTACGAAGGGGTATGCAAAGGCGATGACGTTATTCCCCAATACTTAGACCAGAAAATAAATTGCTGTTTTAATTATTAAATATATTATTTGAGATTTTAAACATAACAAAATTTTAATGTGAAAAAAGTTCTCTCAACTTATTCTAAACTGATTATACTGAGTCAATGCTCGCCTTTTATTACGTTGAAATTATTCAATTGCATAATTTTGTAATTACGAAAGAAGTTAAAAAAATAACTGCATTGCTTTTGTTGTCATTGTTACGAAAACAGTTCCTTCGGCACATTATTATATATTAACACTTGTTAATGTCAATTAATGATTGCAAAATAAAATAAACTCAATCGTTTGACAATAAAATTTTCTTTCATTTGAAAATAAAAACAAACATATTTTACAAATAAATAGCAATTGTTTTCGCGCTTTCTTGCGTATCAATACATTTAAACATTTAAATGTATTTACGAAACATTTAAAAATTGTTTATAGTTCTATCGTGAATTTTAAAGTATTACTGACTGATAAAAGTCATAAACAAATTTTACATTTAAAGGTCCTTTCATTGGTTTTCATTGGTTTTCATTAAACTATAACCTTTTTTTTTTAGATTTTATTTTTCTTATTGATTTGATTTTTCATAGCTAAAATAACTACCACCCTAAAAAAAATATATATATAAATAAAATTAAGGTACATTTTTTTGTTAATAATATACATTAATTTTTTAATTTTAAAGCACAAACAGATTTCTGTTATTTACTTTAAGATTACTTGCATTTTTGCGGTATTTTCGTTTAGCTTTGTTTTGGCGCGAATTTTTGAAACGCATAATAACGAAACGTGGTCAGTTAGTCAGAAAAATTTATATTATGCGTGGACAAACAAGGTGTGCGACCGCACGCCTTTCCTGGGAAAGCCTGCATATATAAAAAGTGAATTATGAGTGGATCAACACCACGCCAGAGATTTGAACAAAACACGAACATACATTTAGATTGGAAAGAAAGGAATCGATAATCTTAAACATGTTTTCAGTCAAGAGCGATGGCCTTAACCACTCCAACTTTATCTAATGCACGATAAAACCTATCGGTTATTACTGTTAGCAAATCAGCTGTAGAACAAGAAGATCAAAATCCATATTGATGATCTGAAAGTAAGTTATTAGATTCAAGATGAGAGATTAAGTGTTTATTAATTAAAGATTCAAAAATCTTGCTTATCATAGGAAAAAGACTAATGGAATGATAGTTAGACAAATCAGATTGCTCTCCAAAATTTTTGAAAATAGGGATAACAGATACTGCTTTCCAGCAGGCTGGAAAATAAGACTCTGATAAGCACTTGTTGAATAGTTTTGAAAGTATAGATGACACTTCCGGAGAACACTTCTGCAAGACTATAACAGGTATGTTGTCCAGGCCACAAGCTGTAGAAGAGTCTAAGCAGGAAATCACTTTAGATACAGAAGCTGGAGTGATTCGAATGTCAAGCTATATCAGGTAGAACACAACTAGTGGAATCAAGAGATGATATCAATGAAAAGTTCTTAGCAAACAGTTCAGCTTTGTCTTTAGGTGAGGTGACAAAGTCTGAACCATACAAGAGAGGTGGAATTACAGATTTGCCCTTACTATTAATACTATTAAAGATTCTCTAAAAATCACAAGAGCCTTATTTTTGTGATAAAATCCAAGATTTCATGACCTGAGATTAGTGGGATTTGGCGTTAGACAAAACCTTTTTACAATGGTTTTTAGCAGTTATAAACAGACGTCTGTTTTCTGGAGAATTGTTTTTCTGATAGATATGGAAGTAACGGTTTCTATTGGCAATTGTAGCAGCATATTGTGAGGAAAACCATGGAGAAGAGTGAGGTTTGACCTGGAATTGTTGAGAGGGAATAAAAGATTCCATGTCAGCCTGAATCCACAAAGTTATGTAAGAAGTACATTTGTCAACAGGAAAACGAAAGATTTCTACCTAAAGTGTCATCACAAAGAAAATCACTGAAAGAGTCCCAGTCAGCTTTAAGGTAGTTGTAAGATGTACGATGATAGGCGGATTCAGATGATAAAAAAGAATGAGATGAAAGCTTCAGAAAAATCAAACTGTGATCAGAGACGCCTAAATGTGAATGTGGAGAAACTGAGCATTGACTAAGATCAAAACCCAGACATAAATTGAGTAGAGAAGGTAAATGATTCGGGTTGTTTGGAAAGCGAGTTGGAAAGTTGACTATTTGAGTTAGGGATTGAGAAAGGCAAAAGTTGTGGGCTTTAATGCCTGCAAAATCACTAACACTGGAGCCAAAGCTATTCAGTGTGATGAGCATTAAAGTCACCTACAATAACAATATTGGATGATGGAAAAAGAGAGAGGGCTTGGTCAATATTATCAGAAATAACATCAAGAAGAGTGCAATCTTTAGATGAAGGAGAGCAATGAGAAAGGCGATAGAGTGAAGTGGTGCTAAACGAAAGCACATAAAAGAGAGTCTGTGGATTCAAACCTAGTTTCCTGACAAATGGGTGAATTCTTACAAATGTAAATGCCCAGGCCAAGCATGTAGCTATTGGAGTTATTATGAATTAAAGGAAGATAATTATCAATACTAAGATCACAAGATGAAACAGCAACTCAAATTAGTCTCACAAAGACCAAGTAGGTCTGATGAACTTTGCAAGTTATAAGACTCAACAGAAGAAAAGGTATTTTGAAGACCACAAATATTTGTGAATAAAAGGTTTAGAAAAATTAAAAATGACAATGGTTTTTTGTGTTTTATAGTTTTTGGTACTTTATTCATTTTTAAATTTGTTAAGGAATTTGATTCGAAGCATAGATAGTACTCAGTACACTGTTTAATAGCCCAAGCAATTGCCTCATTAATATTAATAAACCTAAAAGTATAAACATAAAAACAGAGACACAAGCAAAACCCATCCATTGAGTCAAAAAGATGCAGAATCAACATCCTAAACTGGAAACAATGTATTAAAAATACATCTGCGTCAGCCTAATAGATGAAGAAGGGGTGCGAGGTCGGTCAACAGATAGAATCTGTTTATCCCTTAAGTCTTTGCCTAGGAGGCCTTCTACAAGACAGTAGCCGGATGCATTTAATATCTACCCAAGATGAATATTTTTATTAAGACACCATCTCTAGCCTTTACTCAACCAAGAGCTCCAATGCAGGGAGTGTTTTATGTTGGAGTTGGCATCTCTTAGCCTTTGCCTAAAAAGGCGTATCCTACAAGGCAGCAGTACTTGAAGCAGATTGTACTGGGTTATATGTTACCAGTAGCAGGATAAACTGACCTGACAAATGTTAATTTATAATATGTATTATAGTAAAATAAACCGATGGACTCAAGTAAAGTATAAAGTTATTAAATGTATACATAGTGTGCAGTTTGGAAACTGTCATTATAGACCGCTGTTTCAGGAGTCTGGCGCATTGTGGGATTTTTTTAAATATTATAAAGACACCACCCAAAGAAAAGTCGTTATAATATTTTTATAGTAATGCAACGATTTAATAATTTCTTTTATTTATCTCACTAAAGAAGAATTTTAATATTTTTAACTTATATAAAAATATATAAAACTTATATAAAACTGGGCAATTCTACAAGAGTGGCAGTTGTAACATTGACACTCTTTAAGCTATTAAAAATAAACCATTAATTGAAATGACTTGAAACTTTCCAGAAACGTGAAATACTATCATATGATTTAGTATATATATATATATATATATATATATATATATATATATATATATATATATATATATATATATATATATATATATATATATATATATATATATATATATATAAAAGAAGTTTTACTATGTTTAAACCTTTTAATGTTTTGTAGTTATGAGTGGATTGTTCCTTTTACTTATGCTACCAGTGATAGTTTGTCCATTCCGAAAAAAATTTTAATTACAAAGAAGTTTGGTAATTTTTTTAATTTTTTTAATATTAAAATGTTTTTAAATATTTATTTATCTTATGGTTGATGTTATTCTACAAGTTAATAGTTCATTTTCATACCTTTATTTGCTCATTTTGCAATTGTTGTAAAATGAGTATATATTAGGATATATTATCAAAAATATTTCTTGATATTAATATTTGGGGAGTGATTTTATTATTGTTTTGAGTATGTTAAGCAATATTAAACTTTTACAAAAAAATTTTTTATGTAAAAATCAACTTGAATAAGATAAAAACTACATATTTATGACAGAAATTTAATAAGACTTGACTATTGTCTTTTAATTTTTTGGTTAAGCAAGTCCACTTTTAAGTGCCATTTTTGAATTATAGAGCACATTTACATAGTATTTGGTACTAAGTTTTATGTTTTTCAGAAATGGCATCTACCTGTAAAAGATATCTTGGTGGTATTAGCCGACTTGGTATTAAAATAATAATCTCAAAATTATTTTGTTTCTTATCAATCTGATTGATAAGAAACAAAAGTTGTCAAATAGTTGAAAATTTGCTAAAAAAAATGTAGAAGCAACATATTATTTTGTGTTGATGAAAATACTCCATGTTAACAATTCTTATGCCTGATTTGCATTTTATGAATTTGTTCTAGAGATATTAAGGTGTCGCAACTTGATTTAAAATTGCTCACATCTTAAAATCTTTAAGTGAGAGAAAAGTTAAGCTATAAAATTGGTTGTTTTTAAAGGTAGAAATAGAAGGTAAAAAAAAGCTCTCTCTCTCTCTTCCTAAAGTCAGGAGGAAAAAAAGTTGCATCTTTTGAAAAAAAATCCAATCAAATCATTTTAATACTAGAGATGTGCCAGAACCAGTTTATGTGATGGAACCAGTTTATGCAATCCAGATTCTGGGTACCCGAAAGAAAAAACCGGCTCCATGTCCTGGTACCCAACACCAAGTCTATATTAAAAAGAAGAAATAAAAGCTTGAAAAAATCTCTAGTGCTGAATTGTTATCACGAAATAACGCTGATTAATTTGCGCTAAGTTTACCTAAATATAACTTTCTTAATATTAAATAATAATTAAAAGGTTTTTAATATTTGGAATAACTTGCCTTATTTCGTTGTTAATGCCATAATCATAAAAAGCTTTAAAATATGTTCATAGAACAAAGAGAGTAAAATCTTGTCAACAAGCACCATTTTCAACAACAAACATTTTTGTATATACAATAAAATACAAACTTTTCTATTTACAATGATCTTTTTAAAATAAAGAATTAAATGGACAGGGGCTTATTGAAGATGATGACAATATGTCATTACAATCTTTTTATAGAGCCCCTATAAATACTTTCAATAGAATTTATATAGTATATTAATAACCCTAATGGACATAAAACTGCTGCGCTGATCAGTAAATCAAATTAAAATTTAAAAAAAAAACTGAAAAAATAGAGTCAAATAACTTCAGAGTTACTCAAGCAAAATGAATTTCAAATTTTAAAAATTTCTTTTTTGATTTCAAACTGCTATTTGAAATTGCTAAATAATCGCTAGTTATATAAGTTATGTTATTAAAAATAAAAGATTAAGAGAGACAGAATTGCAAAAGAAAAAAAAAGAGCTCCTTCTCAATTGTAGTATGAATAAAATTAAAAAATATTTTGAGTGAGACACGTCTATATTGAGTTAATAGGGCTTTGTGGTTATTGAGACCATAACACTCTTAGGCTTATATCAAAAAGTTTATTAGTAGAAGTTAAAACTAAAAGCAATCCTTTTGATAACATTTTGATACAAAGTACCACTTTGACACATAGTTACAACATTTCCAAATCTGAAATCCAAGATACATTTAATGAAACTGTTTAGTTGATGCTAAAGATAATTTTAGTGCTCATCATAATGTGTTTTTTTTTAATTATATTATCAGATTATTTTATAAGATTGTGAATTTCGGCAAATCCAATCAATTGACCCCTATAAGATTTTTTGATGTTTTAGATAAGACATTTTCAGGCAATTCATTGGCATGTTTTAAATTTCATCTAATAATTTTTTATGATTTTTTAATATTTTTAATTGATTTATATGATTAGTTTCACTGGTCATAAAAATCATGGAAATGTAATTGAGTTTTATTTCGTGATGGAAAAAGTCATTAAAACAAAAAAAAAGAATTTGTATAGTCATCAAGATTTTTTTTAATAAGTTGAATAACCAATAATTGAATGAAGCTGTCTGGCAAGTACAAACTGTGGCGGTGATTGGTTCATTTGTGGTGTATCCAACACAATGTTAGATTTCTTTTTTAAGAGCATTATGAATGACTTCATTGGTTGATTAATTGATGTCAGGGCTTCAATTATATTAAAGTGCTTTCAATATTCTCAGCAGTATAAGTGATTTTAAAGTGTCCTGAGCAGAGATCATCTTCGAGACTCTCTTTATCATCTTGAAATACAGCAGCCCACTTAGGAACTGTATTATATTTTAGTGCTTGGTCACCACGAACTAATACCAATTCATCAGTAATTGCTAGTGCTACAACTCCAAGTAAGGCACTGTTTAGCATCTCTTCAGTGAAAGACATAAAAGAATGATCAGAGGTTTCTTGATAAATTGATGAATTAATGCAAAAGCATATGCCCATGCCAAACATGTGACTATTGGAGTGTTTACATATAGTAGTCATCAATATTGAGATCCAAAAAAGAAACAGCTAAATTCAAATTAGTCTCACAAATAGCTAGATACAGTTAATATCTGCCCTAAATGTTTCAATAATAAATATTGAACTGTATCAATATTTTTATTGAAACATCATTTTTAGCTTTCACTACACCAAGAGCCCCAAGGCAGAGGAACTTTAAGTTGAAGTTTATTTCTTCTAGTCTTTTGATAGAAAAGCAAATCCTACAAAGCAATAGAACATGGGGAATATAACATTGTTTAGGACAAATCTAATTCAAGAAAAAAAATTTTTATATAGCCAGTGACAAGTTTGTTTATTTTTTAAAATTATTTTGTTTAGCTAGTTGTTCTAATAATCATGTGTTTTAAAAATTTAATTTTCTATCCTTTGACTATTATTTTCATTTACATTTATATTATTTACTTGTTAAAATATTGCAATTTTCATGTTAATTTTAATCCTAAATTTTTTTATTTTGAAAATATTTTTTGCTTAGAAACCACCTGATAAAATCACTACAATTTTTTTTTTAAGTTTCAGGTTTTTTAAAAGTATAACATACTCTAGTGTTGAATGAATGAATAGTGTAATTTACTTTATTTACTTTTTTTAATGATATTTATAAAATGAATGGCTAGGATTTATTTTGTGATAGATGTGATTAACAGCAGTGCAAGTTGGATAATTGGTAACTTTGAACATCGGGGTTTTTATCGTGTCAACTATGACTCTTCAGGATGGGATAGTATTATTGATCAATTATCAAAAGACTTTAAAGTATTTTTTTTTTTTTCTTATATATTGTTATTTTATTATGTTTATGAACAAAAATATGTTGTTTTATGTACTTTTATTTTATCTTTTACAAATAACCTTCCAAATGGAATAAAAAACATTAATTTATTCTTATAAGTTAATAATTTATGTCAAACTTTTATTCATAAGTTGCTCGTTATTAGTTTTGTAAGAATATTGTTCATCATATTATGCCATTAGTTCATCTTATATTGATGAATGGCTATTACTGAGTCCAACTTTATAATTTTTACTAACTAACTTTACTAACCTTTTCTAATGATAATGTCTATTAGGGCTACAGCGGTTGTCATTTTCTTACTCCTGATTTCATTCTCTATTTATCAACAAATTAAACAACATTTAAAATATTTACCTCAACAACATTTAAAATGCAACTTTGGATCTTGTCTAAAACAGAAAGCGTTTCCAGTATTTGTATATATATATATATATATATATATATATATATATATATATATATATATATATATATATATATACATATATATATATATATATGTAATTTATTGTATTTATTGTATTTATTTTTTTACTATTTAAAAAAAAGTTTTGTTTTCACACTTTTTTATTTTCTATACATAATCGAATCCGAATTAACATGCACTGGCATGCTTTTTCTATTAATGTTTTTATAAATAATTTTGTAAATAAATTGTAGAACATTATTTCAAAGAAAATTTTTGGTCAGATTGCGAGCTCTACAAGAATATGTAAAAATATTTTTAAAATTCTAAAATTTAAACACCATTAATACAATTCAAAGAAAAAATGTCTAAAATATGCATAACTCGCATTAAACATACTGTTTTTTTATTGTTTTGCTTTCATTATCTACTAACCTAAATACAATTTACTAACATTGGTTATTGAACCATTATGCATTGCGTTTTCTTTTTTTCTATATTTTTTACATTTTCTTACAAATATCTGTAAATCTGATAACATTATTATTACATATATACATCTGATAACATTATTATTACGTATATTTGTTTTGTTGAATTGTATTATTAAATACCTCTTTAAACTTTGACAAAAAAAATTTTTTCAAGGTTTTTTCAGTTACAGATCGTGCTGGCATCATTGATGATGCATTTAATCTTGCACGGTAAAATCTCATTTGTGTATCAAATTAACAGATACAATTGGTAGAAAATTTCTACAATTTACCAAAAACTTTAATTTAGATCTGGTCGTCTTGGTTATTCAACTGTTTTTCGTTTACTTTCTTTTATTGATAAAGATGACAACACAAATGTTTGGGATATGGTATTGAATAACTTGAAATACCTTGGAAAAGTTTTGAGTTCAACCACTGTATATAGTCATTACAGGGTAATTTATTTTTTCTATGTGTAGTTGACCATGTATAATTCCATGTTACCATGTATAATTCCATGTTACCATGTCACCATGTATAATTCCATGTTACCATGTCACCATGTATAATTTCATGTATAATTCTCTATGTGTAAACCATGTATATTTCTATGTTACCCATGTTAAACAGTTATATTAAAAGATACATAATATGATATTAGTTAGTGTTATATTTGCTTAAATTAGATATTTATTTAGGGTTTATTTTTTAGGCTTTTGTTGCAAAAAAAATTAAACCAATGGTTAGCAAGTAAGATTAGTTTTTCAAAATATATTTTTGGTTTTGAAATTTTTTTAATTTTTAATTTTTATGGTTTGTTATTATTATTGTTATTATTAGTGTTATTATTGCTATTATCGTTATTATTATTATTATTATTATTATTATTATTATTATTATTATTATTGTTATTAACTTTTAACAAAGAAATTATTTTCTTATTATTAGAAAGTTTAATACTTATGTGAGTACTGCCTGTGAAGCTGGAGAAATAGAAACAATTCAAAAAGTGAAAACAATCTTTAACGATTGGATGATAAATAATACAATGTATGTTTTAAACATGATATTTTTAAAACAACAGGTTTTATATTCATTACAATAGGTTTTGAATTATGACTTTTTTTGCATAAAGTAAAATATATTTCTATATTTTATTAATTTAATTTATATATGCATATAAATATATGGTTATTTTTCAAAAAGACATTGCATAAGTTATTAAATGTTAAAAATTACATAATTTGTATTAATTAATAATAAAATTTTTTTTTTTTCAAATTATTGATATTAATAATTTAAACAAGCAACAGCCTCAAGGAAAATGGATTCTTGTGCTGAACATAACTAAATTCTAAACTTACCTTGAAACTTAATTTTAAACTATGTTTGAATGTGTAATAACTTCTACTTCAAATGAAAACACAGATAGAATGAGATTATGCAACCTTATTTTGAATTTAGCTTATGCAACTTAATTTAATTTATGCAACTGTCAAACAATTAAAATTTTAATTTAACAAATTTTTTTTTTTCATTTTTAATAAATAAAATTTTATACTGCTATATATTATTCTTTTTTGTTTTATTGCGCATCTTGCAGCTTCATGACAAAAATTGTCTGTAATAATTAAAATAATTAAAATAGCGGTTTAAAATAAGTATTTTAATGCTTATGAGAGTGCTGCCTGTGAAGCTGGAAGAACAGGCACAATTCAAAAGGTAAAAACAATCTTTGAGACGGTTGGATAAAAAAATTATATAATGTATGTTTTAAACTCAATGTTATTAATTCAATGTGCCACCTATTTTATTTATTTTTTATTTTTGTTTGGTAATCCTCTATACTGGATCTACCATAGGTTGATCCAATATAGAGGATTACCAAACAAAAATAAAAATTTGGTTTGCTAATAATAAAAAGTAATTGATTATATAATTTAAAAAATTTTGCTGTCATAATAAAGATAATTATTTAAAAAGTCTTATTTATAAAAATAAAAAAATATAAAACAACAGGAAATAGTTAATGAAAATCAGCTCATTTGTTAAAAGTGTCTGGTGAAAAAAAACTAAAATTTGATAAAAACTAAAAAAAAAAAATTTAATATCTAAAAAAATATCTAATTTTCAAAAATAAAAGCTGTTAAAAATGAAACTAAAAATTTTATCTTCATTTTTATCATCTTCAGCATTAACTTTATCATATAAAAAAATCAAATATTTGTTATATAGTAAAAAAGAAATTTAGTTAATACCTAATTAATAACAATTCTCGACTCAACTATATATATTGTTGACAATAAATAGTCTTGCATGGTAGTCACAATGTTTTTCCCATAAACTGTTGTTTTAAAGAACGCGTTAATAAACCTGACCAGAAAATGTTAAAAAACTTCAAATAAAATTTTTTTTTTTTGAAATGATAGACTGCCTGCCCAAACCAAACCCTCAGTCGATGTAGCGGCACTCCTTTGCGAGTCAAGCTATTTGTCAGTCGATGTAGCAGCACTCCGTTGCGAGTCAGCAGCAGGCTATAAGATAGTTGATATAGCAATACTTACGCATGTTTTTAAAATGTTTTTTAATAAAAATTAAAAAAAAACACCACTAATTAAAAAAAACTTTTTAGTTATTATTATTGCGGTTTTTTTAAAAAACAATAAAATTTAATGTACTTCCGCATTAATTTAATTGCTTTGACATTTCGGCGACAATAAAATGCAGCTTAAGAGATAAGGTAAAAAAATTGTATTCGAAAGAGACTTTTTTTACAATAAAAGACTCTTTCGACCACACTATAAGGATATATATATATATATATATATATATATATATATATATATATATATATATATATATATATATATATATATATATATATATATATATATATATACATACATATATATATATATATATATATATATATATATATATATATATATATATATATATATATATATATATATATATATATATATATATATATATATATATATAGAGAGAGAGAGAGAGAGAGAGAGAGAGTATATATGTTACTGTTACCGGCGGTACCAGAATTAGCTAAATAGTAATGTTTATAATATAGTTTAATATTGTAACTCTAAGTTTTAGCTGTGATGATGCATTTGTATATAATGTTTGTGGATTTGCACTTACCATTCAAAGGGCATTCTGTTTTATTTTGAAAATTGCATTTTGGGTCATTATTTTCAATTTTTATGAAAATAATTTTTTTGTTGTGGTTTTTTATAATTTTTTCGATATTTTTACATACACTACTTTACTCTCCCACTTCCCCACATTGTTTTTGTTATGATTAAACCGGATTGCATATTTAGAAAAATATTTTCTAAATGATTAAAAACAGTGTTAAAGTACATCTTTAAAAAGATAGGAATATCAGCATTTTCAGTGTAACTTTTTAAATTTTATCAAATTAGAGTGATATATATATATGTGTGTGTGTGTGTGTGTGTGTGTGTGTGTGTGTGTGTGTGTGTGTGTGTGTGTGTGTGTGTGTGTGTGTGTGTGTAGAGATACAGAGTAGCGCCATATAAATATATAAAATATATGTGTAACAATATGTTGGGCACTATATAAAATGATTAATAAAATAAAGTAAATAAAAAAGCTTTTAAGCTTTTTATTATAGTTGTTAAATTTACTTTAGTGTTAAGTTCTGCATTAGAAACCATTGAGTTCCAAGAAAAATACTAAGTCAACTGGTACAATTACCAGGACAAAAACCATATACCAGGTAATTAAGGTTGTCTGGAAAGAAATCATAATCACATACCCTATGAGTACAACTAAGTCAAGGGTTATTAAAGACAAAACCTTAAAGCTTTTTAGCTACAGAATCATTAAACTGAGCTGTACCCTCATTAAGAGATTAAAAAAAAAAAAAGAGTTGCATAGCCACTACCAACACGACACAAGCAACAGTCCATGAGTAGAATCAAGAAGCTCCAGTGTTCATTGTCCCATGCAGGAAACAATGTAACAATGATTTATGTTTATTTTATCCTATTAGATAAATAAGGTGTGTGAAACCACATTTAAGTTTTTTTAATAAATTTTTAGCCCAAAAGTAAGTATTTCAATCAGTTTGCAATTATTGCTGTCGGAAGTAAATGTAATTTTGAATCATGCCTTTTAAACAATGCTGATCTCAAATTAAATTTTGGAAACTTTTAGCAGCAAATTTGCAGAATCATTATTTATTTTCAATAATATTTATGACCAAAATGCATCCGTATATACCATTCAAGCCAACAAAATTCAAGTACACAAAATTTTTCCTTATATTTCTTTGGAACTAATCTTTTAATGATAATTCTTGATTTAGGATTAACCACCTCAAAATTTGATTTATCACTAAAAATGACCTAAAACCAATATTCTATTGACCATTGAAGTTTTTTCTTATTCTTTTAACCCTATCTTTTTAAAATGTTCTTCTGTCACCCTTAAATGCAGTTTTCTAGCAGCAACATAACAATACCTTTTTTATTTTTTTAAGACACCTTCTATTTATTGTTTTATATTTTTTAATACATTTACTGTGCTGTAACACTAACTTAGCCAGCCTTATTACTTAAGTTAATTACTCAGTAGGTAATTTAAAGTTTTCATGGCCTACCAAATTTTGCCGATTCTTTTACGTCATTTGAAATTTTGTAGTTTTTAAGCATTGTTTGAACACACCATAGTAAAACCGCGCATAATCTTGCTATTTCTCATTTTTCTTACTGATTTTCTGCTTCAGGTGGGCCAATAATTTACCAATTGAAAATATCTTTTGAAATTAAGTTAAAAGTTGATTTTTATTCAGTTTAAACTAATCGAGCTTAGTTTTGACACATTTTTAAATAATTAACAGGGTTGCTTTAATTTACCATTAAATTACTCAGAAAAGATAAATAGAACCAATATAAATAGGATGGATATGTTATATAGAAAGCTTATGAAATAATTAAATCAGAAGTTAAAAAAAAAGTAAAATTAAAAAGTAAAAAAAGTTTTTTAACTACTCACCATTTAAAAAATTAAATAATTATATTATTAAAAAAAATAATAATATTATTAAAAAATTATAATTAAGTAGCTGTCAAAAAATCCAAGTTATTAATTTAATTATTTTGAACTTAATTTTTTTTTCTTTTTTTTTTTCTAATTGTATGAACTGCACCTGACACAATTGTGACTACATTATCTCAATTGTTTGTAACTACATGAGTGATGTAACCAGATGAGATATGTAACCAGATATGAGATATGTAACCAGACTTTGTAAAAATTATTATCAAATTTGTAATTTTTTTCAAACTTTATTTTTAAATTAATGGATAAAAAAGTATGAACTCAAATGAAAGATTACAATTGTTTACAAAAAGACAAGTGAATTTATTGTTTGTTAAAACTTGATGACCAAGTATTAAAAATATAAATAACACTGAACTTTAACAGTTTTTAAAAATAACAGGATAATTGTGAATGCATGATGAAGGATAACGATGAGTAAATAAAATTTGTAATGAAAAAAAATTATGTTAAAGCATATTTTGTACAAACTTTTTTCCAGAATTCCAGCTGATATTCGGTCTGCAGTTCTAAAATATGGAGTTGAAAATGGCGGCGACACAGAATGGGACTTTGTTTTTAAAAACTATATAAATCCATCAGATCCATCAGACAAAAGTAGATTTCAATCAGCATTAGCAGCTTCACAAAAACCGTGGCTCTTAAAAAAGTATGTTATATTATAGTTTTTTAATTTTTTATTATTGAACAATTGTCGTAAATATTATAAAGGTTTTTGTGCTAACTTTTAGTTGATTACTTACTTTATTTATATTTTTAGATTTTTAAGCATAACTTTTGTTTATAATTTCATTTACAAAATTTCTAAGTTACAAAATCTTATTTCTTTTGAAATAATGTTGTTATGTAAATGCAGATTACTTGGTACTGTTGATTTAATCATTATTGTTGCTATGTACACGTAGGTTACTATGATTTAAACATTGTTGCTATGTACACACAGGTTACTATGTACTACAAATTTAGTCATTATTTTTATGTACATTAAAATTAATTATATTTATTTCATGGTTTATGTTTTTCACACTTTTTGTTCTTCTTTTATTCCTTGTTTCTATGATAAAGTATGCAACAGTCATGCTTGGTTTCTAAAATAAAAAATATCACAACCATCTTTGACTTCCATGATAAACAATCCTACCCGTTTCTGGTTTCTATGATATAGGATGTCACATTCATTTTGATTTTTATAATACGTTCCACGCATCTTTGATTTTTAAAGCTCTTTTTATCTTTAACTTCTGTTTCTTTTTTTGTTTTTGATTTTGTTTTTTGTTTTAGGTGCTCTAAGAACACCTAATGGTCACAGAGTACTGCAAAAGAGCATTTTACTAGGAAAGCCTTCTTATTTACCGATGGCGCAAAATATGCTCAGAGCTCACTTTGAACCCTTAATCTCTTGCTTCTAAAGTAAATGTTCTAACCAATGTGCTAGGACCGCTCATTAAAATTATATTTTTCATTACTTTTTTTCTCAGATTTATCTTATAAAGCGTTTTTACGCTAATGATCTGTGAAAAAGGGCTCCACATCCTATAGTGTGCATATGCTGCTAGTCCAGAAATGGGGAAAAGATTTGATTGGGGGAAGGGGTTTCTCTTGCTGTAAAAGGGGTAAGGGTGAGAAGGGTAAATTATTTGACTAAATCTACAAATTGGAGATGTAGTTGAACGTTTTTTGTAAATATTTTTATTGATCTTTTTTTTAAAATTTTGTTTGTAAATAAACATTTTTGTTAAAAAATACAAGTTTTGTTCCTTTTTTTTTAAACAATAAGTGGTGTTTGTTAACAAATTTAATTGAAAAGATATAAATTAATAGTTTTAAAATGTCTTCACTAATTTAAGTTAGTTGAATTGGTTTATTAAATTAAACTGATGCTCTTTCTCCAATTCAGAAAAAATCTAGATAAAGAATATTTTCTCTAAGAGTTTTTTATTTATTCTAGAAAGTGAAAGGTTTCACTTTTTTTATTCTAGTAAGTAAAATAGTTTAGCTTCTTATAAAGAAATATTTTAAATATGAATAAAAATTTAAGTTAAATAAATTGTAAAAATAGAATGAAATTAAATATAAATAAAAGTTAAAATTACAAATATAATAATAAGTTTAAAACACATAGCAAAACTTTGACATTAAAAAAAATGCAGTTAATAAAATATTCAAGTCTATACATCTATTGAGATGTTAAGTTTCTTACTATGATAATAACAAAAATTGTAAGAAAAATTAGAAAATTGAAAATCAAAAATACTTAAAAAAGAGTATAATTTATATTATTATTGAACATAGGTGGTTAGACTACTCTATTGATGGTAAGACAGTCCGCACACAAGACACTGTTTATGTTATTTCAAATGTAGCTTCAAATCCTGTAGGGAAGTATGTAGCATGGACATTTGCTGAAGCAAATTGGAATAAAATAATTGCCATGTAAAGTTTAAACTTTATTTCTTTTAAACTACTTTTATTTTATTTTTTCCTTTATTTTGATTATTACAATTTAAAGCAAAAAAAAATTATAAATTTGATTTTAGAGCAAAAGAAAATAATTTTCATGTAAACCAATTTATCACAGGATTAACTACGTTAATGAGTACTGAGTACGAACTTCAAAAAGTAAGTGAATAATCTGATTACAATGCTTTAATAAAATTAATGTTTTAATTATTTTCAAATGAATTATAGTTACTATAATTACTTATTATTTTCCATAAATTTTTTCCAAGTTTTTATCAGCAGAAATATTTTTTTGTAGTTTTTTTAAAATTTATAAAAATATTTACTAAAAATAATTAAATAGTAATTGAAACAACTAAAAATAATTAATTACAAATAAAAAGATATAAATCTAAATATTGTAGGCTTATGTCCTCCCCCAAATATTATTTTTTAAACAGGTTTTAATTTTAACATTAATGTTAACTAGATGATAACTTTATGCAGTCTCATAATATAATAATATAAAATTTAATCATTAATTAAATTATTTAATTAATGATAACTTTATGCAGATTTTTTATAGATAAAGTAATACAATTAAATATATATTTAAAAATTAATTTTATCTTTCTTTTAACATAAGAATACACTTCATGTTTTATCCAATATCATAAGAATATACTTCATATATCAATTATAATATATATCAAGAATATACTTCATATATCAAATTATCATCAGGAAATAAAGCAACTTTAGATGTAAGATTGTCAGGAAAATCATTAATGTAAATAAAAAATAAAATAGGACCAAGAATAAAACTTTGAGTTACCTCAAAGTTTTCAAGAAATAAAGGTTTATTATTATTATTAAATATAAACATAAAACATCAGGTTGATGAAGTATGTATTAATTTATTTTGTTTAAAATTGTTTCTAATAGTTACACAGAGATTTTTTTTTTAATTGTTTCTAATTGTTACACAGAGATATTTGTTTTAATTGTTTCTAATAAATATGAGATATTTTTTTTTAAATTGTATCTAATAGTTACACAGAGATGTTTTTTTTTTTTTAATTGTTCCTAATAGTTACACAGAGATATTTTTTTTTTAATTGTTTTTAATAGTTACACAGAAATGTTTTTTAAAAAATTGTTTCTAATAGTTACACAGAGATATTTCAACTCCTAGTTGTTAGAGTCATTTTTCAATCTGAGACATCGGAGTTCGTTGTACTGTAAAGATAAGCTAAATTTTAAGTTTGATTTTAAATTTGTTGCATTAGACAGGTTTCTCAGTTTTTTAAAATTAGGTTGGTTCCTTTTCATATGCACAAACAAACCTTGACTAGTTTTGACCTACCAGAATCTCTATTCATAGCCGAGTGTAAAGGTATTATATCTCTAAAGATTCCCAGATAACATTTTTTTTTAAATGATTTTCTTATTTTAGCAACCTTACATTATTCCAATGAATATTATTATCTTTCAAATTTTGCAATGCTCAGCCAATCTTGGGTCTGTCCATTTTCCACAAAATATTGAATAATGGCACTGTTTCACTCTGGTTTTTATCAAAAGGTTTTTTATTTAACGGATTTGTTTAATACAAAAATACTTTGAGTATTTGAATATACACTATCATTTGAACAAACTCTTGCTATCTTGTACCTCAAAAGTAAATTTTGCTAACTTTTTGGTTACCCTAGACTTAAACTTTGATAATTTGGTTAGACTTGTCTAATCAGTTGAACTTTTACTTGTACCCAGGCCTTTTTGTTGGTTTTTGGTGCAGAAGTTGCAGCTTACACAAACTCCTGAGATTTCACACTATAAGGTCTAATTAAAGACAATTCTCAAAGAGGGTAATATTTGATTTGGTAACTTTTTTGATTAGTCTGAGACAGATGCCTTCAAGATGCCTTAATTTGAACATGATGCTTGTTGAATATGATTGTTTCTCTATGAAAGTTTTATGAATTGAGAGCTAGATATATTACAAAACATGAGACAAGCCTAACCAAAAAGATTTAGGCAAGATAAATTTTCCATAGAGATTTTGCATCAATGATATGCGTTTGACCACTTAATGACCAATTTAGCAAATTATTTACTTCTTCTTGTGAATTGTTGGAGTTGGAACTGACATGATGTAATAGTGAATGGTCATCAGCATTCAAGTTAAAGAGACTACTGAATTGGTCAAAGACCGACATACCAATGACAACCATGGTAAAAAGAAATGTTCCAAGCACAGACCCATGTAGAACTCCACTAGTGGTAATGGACTGCGGGATGGAAGTCAGAGAAACACCGGAAACAACAACCTTTGAGAATGGTGAAATAAGTACGATTTAATCTATGTGAAAGCAGTGTCTGGTAGTTTAAATTTATTTTAGCTGCCAGGGTAACAACTAGATGAGAGATTTTATCAAATGCTTTTTTAAAGTTGATACTAATACATTGAAGTTTCTTCCACCTGAAGATAAGAGTTTGTTTGTCAAATAACCGCCATTAGCAGAGCGTTAGTTGTATCGTTATAAGGACTAGGCACAAAAGCAAATTGAGAAGGATTAAATTTTTTCCGAAGGGAAGAATCACTTCTTGATTTTCGCTTCCATCATTAAAGTTAATTTTCTCTTAAACTTTTCTAATTTTTGCTTATTTAGGTAATTTACCACGCTTCATTTACACCGCTTTTCGCAGATACCAAGTCTGGCCAAAATATGTACTCCTGTACTATAAAATTTATTTATAAAAGGTACCAAATACTTTTTAATTATGGCTTCTAGGTAGACTGTTTGGTTCACTGCCATTCCTAAAGGAATAAAAAATGGCTTGTTACACCTGTTGGTGATACAAAGCCAAACCAATAATTTTTTTTCATATTTGGCTTTAAAATCCAACTTTAAACTTTTTTTTACACTTTACATGCCGGAAGTCAGAATAATACCACTTGAATAAAAACCAGAGTTGCCAGGCTGCAACAAATGAGAAAAGAACTATTCATTATCTAAAACAAAATCGATATTTTTGTATTCTTCTAACATTTTTCGACACTTTAGCCTTGCTTGCATCTTCTGAGTTAGAAGTTATCTTTTAGTTTTTTTACGATGTTTGATGTTCTTTTATTTAAAATCTTTGAAACATAAGTTTGATGACATTTTAACTTTCAACGCGATTTTGGAAACAGCCAGAATGATGATCAAACTTTTTTTTTAACATATCAATTGTTGGCTTTTGATGCAGTTATAACAGGTCTACCACAAGATATTTTTCTTTCCAATGATCTGTTTTGATAAACTTAATCAAATTATAAGCAGTTGATTTTGCATACACAAGAGCAATAAAATGCTTTGCAATTTCCTTTTTTTGTTTATCTGGATTATTTTTTCGAAACTTCTACAAATTGTTCTTAATGTTTTCATATTTTGCCATTGTTTAAAAATTATTAAATAAAAAAAATTTTTTTTTTTTTTGATTTTTTCAAATACAATTTAAGCACGGCTTCAAAATGAGACTATTACAAATATCCTTATACATTTCTTTGCAGAGATTAACTCTAGTCCAAAAACTTAATTATAACCCACTACACGTATGTATAACCCACTACACGTATGTATAACCCACTACACGTATGTATAACCCACTACACGTATGTATAACCCACTACACGTATGTATAACCCACTACACGTATGTATAACCCACTACACGTATGTATAACCCACTACACGTATGTATAACCCACTACACCTATGTATAACCCACTACACGTATGTATAACCCACTACACGTATGTATAACCCACTACACGTATGTATAACCCACTACACGTATGTATAATCCACTACACGTATGTATAATCAAGCATTTTTCAATTAAGCATTTCAATGTTTTTAGCTTTAAACTTTGTCTAATTTATTTTTACATCTATATCTACAAAACATTTTCCTTAAGTTTAAAAAATTTTTGCTTTCTAGAAGTGTCATAATGTTTGACCAAGCAAAACCAACATGTTGTATTACAGCTTGTTGAAAGCATACTAACAGCAGTTGAAATTAAAACATGTCAAATGTTCATTCAAACACTCAGGAGCCTTAAAAACATTCAGAGCTTAAAAATAGCAAAAACAAAGTTATTTTATTCTAATTTATTAATTTAAATTAATCCAGCATCTTTATTTGCCTTCACCCCAACTAGCAGCAGCCAACAACAGCTTTAAAAGATCATTGTCTTGGCTCTCACCAAAAGCTAAAACATCTACCATCAACCCATGAAGACAGACTATCTTTACTAGTCACAAACACTCTATCAATTCAAAAAAAAAACATATCTAAAATGTAATCTGCATAACCAACAATTTTGAGAAACCAAATTTAGAAAAATTTATCATTCAAATAGCAATAAACACTTTAGGAAATAATAGTATGGGACCTTAAGTCTTTTTTTCAAAAAGCTACTTTTAGTCTAACTCTATAACATAGGCTTTTTATCTTGTATAGTAATATGCACATATAAATTTAGACTGGACAACCAGCAAGCAAAAATTATATTTATTAACTTCACTAAATCAAAAATATCATATTAGGCAAGACGCTTGAAAACAAAACAATGTTTTTTTTGTAACAGGTGACTTTAATGGTGCAAAAACTAAACAAGTATCTAACTCGCCTAATTTTTACTAATCAAACAGATAGACAATCTATAAAACACAACACCTGTAATTAAATCAATAACTTCCCCTGAAAGTAGTTTGTGTTTGGACTCCTAAGTTTAAATACATGTCTGGTAAAAGTAGCAGAAAATAAAGAAGAATTTAAAACAAACGTGGTAACTATAAAAAAAAAATTCCATATACTACAATATTTAAATCTAATACTCTAGTACTTGACTCTAATATTCGACTCTATTATTCAACTCTAATGTCCGACTCTAATATTCAATCTAATATCCAACTCTAACACAGAAAAAGGTTTTGATTGAATAACTAAAGAAAAAATTATCTTATCTTAACCATATTACTTTCTTAGCTAACCATTTGTAATGTGAATTATGAGACAACCATTTGTTTCGTAAATTAGTTTGTCTTAGTCAAACAGCAAGTTATTTATATGATCAAGTTTTTCTATTATTGATCATCTTTTAAAAAATAAAATCATCTTTTAAAAAATAAAAATATTAATGCCAAAAAATTGGAAATTGAGTTATGAATAATAGAATTAATTTTTTTTTTGTTTTTTAATTTTTATTAATCTTTTATTATTTTTTAATTGTTTATAATTCCAAGATTCCATTGAAATTAAAGAGGATAACCTCAATTTTTTTGTACACAATCTAATTTCAATCTGAAACATAATCGCTTCACAAATAAACGTGTTGAGTGCGGTATTGACAAGGGCTTAGTGGGGTTTCACAAGACTTTTTACATATTAGGCGTCTGTTTAACCACTACCGTTGCAACACTACTGCTAAAAGTTATGGTAAATTGCAACCAAGATAACATTGTTTACTAATAATAATTTCGGTTAAACATGAAAATTATTTTAAAAATTTTAATAATTTTTATGTTTAACCGAATGTTGAATCATATATCATGTGTGTTAGCTTTGTCTTTAATATTTATGCTAAACCAAATGTTGAATCCCCTATCTTGCGTATTAGCTTTATGCGTTGTATTTTGTTTATAAAAAATTTACTTTTAAAATATTTCAATCTAATTAATTTAAAATAACTTATTTTTTTGCAGGTAAAAGAACTTTGGGCTATTCATGCTAATGAACGGGACGGAGTTAACGCTCGTCAACAGAGTCTAGAAAAAATAAACTCTGATGTCTATTGGTTAAAGAGTAACTACGATGAAGTATCTAAATGGTTTTATAGCAACACTATGATTTAAAGTTTCTCTAACTGCAAGTGTTAGAATTTTTTTTTTTACATCTTCATCTAAGACACTAGTTTAGACATTTGAGATTTTTTTTAACATGTGTTTTTTCGGATAATTACCTGATATTCCGGAAAAAAGTTACCATGTTTAAAAAAGAATTGCCATAATTAATAAAGAATTACCGTGATTAGTAAAGAATTGCCATGATAAAGAATTTGCAAAAAAAATAAATTGCCTGTTGTCAAAATTCAAAAATCGAAAAAAAGATTTGGTTTAGTTTCTTGTTGATAGTTCCACAAGAAATATGCAATTTTATAATATAATGCATACAATCCTGTGTTTGACTGATTTTTATTTAGTTATTGAATTATTTTTTTTAAGTTTAAGTAATGATCTAAATATACACCTTTTTTAAAATATTTTCTTTCAGACATATGTTAAATGTTTATTACTAGGGTTTACGATCCCGCAACCCCGGTATTCCGAAGAAGAAACCCGAAATCCCGGTATTGTTTTTAAAATATCCCGGTATTATAACATCAAAGTTTATCAGCAAAACCCCCTGAAAACATTTTCTACGCTACAAAGAAAGCAAAACAATGTGTAAACTAAGCAAAATATAGTAGAAATGGAAGATCAACAAACAATCTTTATATCTACTTCAGTTACATAATATAACTTTAAACTGGCACGTTCTCCGGGATCGGAACAGAGTAAAAAAAGTAAAATTAGTTAATATTTTTTATCAAACATAAATTAAGAAGGCAATTTGTCTAAAGTGCTTGCAAAATTAACAAATAAAGATAGGATATCTTTTAAATGCACTTCTTTTGAAGCTTTATAGTATGTGTATATTACTTCTATTGATATACGTGATAGGCTGGCTATATAGCGATTTGCCAACATGCCTAAATCTCCTAATAACGTTCAAAAAAATGGCGAAAAAAAATTGATAGTTGAACTAAGTTTTCAATTTCATTTGACGAGTGGACGTTAATTCGAAGTGCCCGTTATTTGAATATAAGCTTACAACAACAACAAGATATTTATTTTCCTCAAAATTTACAATCATATAATTACATTAATATATTATTTAATATTAACAATAATAAGTTATTTAATTTAAATTACACAAAGCCACAGCCTTGTTAAACTCATCATCAGCTGAGTATAGGCATCTATACCCAACTCGTATTTCGGCCACTTTTGTGTGGCATTTACGGTAAATGATGAGTTTTAGCAACTACGATGACTGAATACTGTCTAGTAGTTGTTTAAATTTATCAAGTGATGTTGCCTCGATGACATTATCTGGCAAAGCATTTCAGTCAATGACTACACGGTTGTTAATAAACTTGTGTCTGATTTCGCAGTTCCTGACAATCTCGCGATGAAATCTGATTCGATGTTGAGCTCTGGGTGCTATGCTGCCAGGCATTACGTGCCAATCAATTAGGTTTAAATTGTTGAGAAGCTTATATTTTTGAATAAGATCGCCTCTTTTCCGTCTGTCTTCAAGAGTAGTTAATTTCATGATTTTACATTGAGTTTTGAAGTCTTTATTTTTCAAAGCATGAGGAACATTCGTGGCGTTGCGTTTTACCTTTTCAATTTTTTTTATGTTACTATCAAGGTAAGGGTTCTAGACTTGTAAGGCAAACTCCAGATGTGGTCTAATATATGCAGTATAAATTTTTTTCCAAATGTCAATATCTCTTAATACAAACGTGTGTTTAAGAATTCCAAGCATATTATTTGCTTTGTTTGCAGCTATATTGCACTTTTGAGCATATTTAAGATTTTCGGAGATTAGAATTCCAAGAGCTTTTTCAGAATTTGTGACTTCTAAAACTACTCTATTGGTTGTACAGTCATTTTTGATTTCATCCATAATGTAATCAAATTTTATTGTTACAGAATTTACATGCATAACTTTACATTTTTTTATATTTAACTCCATTACCCAGGTTTGCGTCCATTTAACAATCTCGTCTAGATCGTTAAATGGACGATTGTAAACCTGCTTGGTCTTCATTATTTTCAACAACTTTCATGAGCTTTGTGTCATCTGCATACATTTTGCAAATGGCTGATTTGACATGAATTGGCAGGTCATTAACAAATATGACAAAGAGCATTGGTCCTAACACAGAATCTTGGGGAACCCCGCTAGTTACATCAATCCAGTCAGATTTTGATTCTCCAAGAATATCTACAATATTATAAATAATAAAATTAAAATTTAATTATTAAGAATAAATATAAATAATTGAATCACTCATGTAGAATCCTGATCAAAGGAGTGACACCAAATATTAGTATTTATAAAAGAAATAGTAGTATTTATAATAATTGTAATAATAAAAACAGCAGTAATAAAAGTAATACATATTAATGACAAAAACAATACAGATTCTTTAGAAAAAAAAAGAAAAAAAAAAACTAAAGGAAGTTAATAATGATAAAAAATTAAAATAAATTTTTTTTTAGAATTTGTTTAAATTTATTTTGTTTTAAATAAAGAAATGAAGATAAATTATTTTGAAGTTTTAAACTCATTCACAATGCACACAAGACTTCGATTCCATTCACTAATGCACTGATGTGTATAGGGTTGGGACTGTTGTAATTGTAATTGTAAAAATTAAATACAATAACATATTACAATACAATATTATTGTATACAATAATATTGTATTGTAAAACCAGAGATTGTATTGTTGTGATGAAAAACAGTTACAATAAATATTGTATTGTTTTTGTTCTAACAATACATCAAAAATCTTAAAACTTTTGTATTGTATTGCTGTGATGTAAAACAGTTACAATAACTATCGTATTGTTGTGATGAAAAACAGTTACAATAAGTATTATGGTGTATTGATTTCAAAGCCCAATAGCTATTGTATTTTGAAGTATTTAGATTCATTTTTACACGTACTTTTTATTATTTGGGCACTAGAAAATTCAGAGGGCACGTGAAAATCGTTTTTAGCAGTCATTTACATATATACCCAGTGGGCACGCAGACGGCTTTAGGACGTCTTTAAGACGTCCCGATCGGACGTCTTAAATTGGTTGGATTTGGAAATACAGAAAGACGTCCTGCTGGAACGTTTTAAAGACGTCCCAGAAAGAACGTGAAAAAGACGTCCTGAGAGGAACGTAAAAAAACCTTTATACAGTCAGTGGCATAGGCAGGTTTTTTTAGGTTCCATATTTGACACTTTCAGGCTTTGTGCATACTTCAAACTTTTTATGTCTACCTGGAATGACAATGAAAAAAATAAATTATAATCTATTATTTGTTATAAATAATACATAGGTGCTTGAAAACTAAAATACCCAAAAAATTTTGCTCTCCTATATCTGAATATAAGGGAAATGAGTTCATATTAGCATTCAAAAGTTATGATGATGTACATTTTGCAACCTCCGCATTTAAGGAGGGAAACTAATCTTTATTTGGTCAAAACATTTGAAAGCTAAAATACTAATAAAGTTACAAACCTGTTGATGAAATTTAATTTAATATTAAATAAAATACTGTTATTAACAGAACTCATTTCCTTCACATTCAGGGATGGGAAAGGGCAAAACGTTGTCATTCAACATAAGGATAAAAATAATTAAGTTTGCAGATTGGACAATGTGCTTGAAAATGTCTTATGTGAATACATAAAAAAATACAATCTATGCTATTGCACATGCATTTACATATACTCTATAGTGTAATGCATACAGATAAAGAATAACCATAATAAATAATTTAACAAAACAAAACTTATTAGTTAATAATTAAGTAATTATTAATAAAAATTATTTGCATAGCAAAACAAAATACAAAAAGTAAACACATACTTAACAATCGACGCTTTCACAATGGAATAACTAAAATTACCACCAAGATTTGATAACTAAAGCCTCAAAAAAAAAATACAGTTAAAAATAAATAGTATTTTATTCAACACGGAAATGTTTTAGTTCAAAATCATAGTTCTAAATCAAGAATTAGGTTGAAGCTGGCAACCAAATTGAAAAAGCAAAGTAGACAGATAAAACCATGCCGATACAACATTTAATCATCATATCCGATTTAAACAATTTGATTTACGTTTAAGGAGAGTATTACATATGAGGAGAGTATTATGTATTACTATATTCTTTTCTACTTGTTTATCTATCATATTTAATGATCGTCTGTTAGAATATAAAAAATTGCAAATAAAAATCCAAAACTTCAATAAAAAACACAAAACTTTCATTAACAAATATACATTCGTAACATATTACTGGGTGTTATAGGTGCCTTGTCTTTTTCATATCTTTGTTTTTATACCAAATTGTATACATTTTGATAAGAATTGGAAAAGTTATAACATTTGAAGTTACGAAAAACTATTAATTTTGTCATTATTTTTTCAAGAAATCCTTATAAAATTTTCTACTAAAAATATCATGTAAAATTTTGATTTTTTCGCCATTAAAATATAAAACAATCATATTCTAACATTAATAAATGTATTATTTAATTTGTTTGTGCACTAAATGTTAAATCATTGATATATTAATAAAGCTTTATCATACGTATTTTTATTAAATGTTGCAAAAGTATAATAAATTAAAATTTAAAAAATATATATATATATAAAAGTGCAACTTTCAGCATAAAACTCAAAATTCTATGTAGATGGAATGTAAAAATAATAATCATAAGAATACAGTAAACTCCCAATATCTCAAACCTCAGATAACTCGAACTTTCCTGTAACTTAAAGTACTTTCGATTATTATTAGTAGTACACATATAATTTTTTTTACTGTTATATCTTGTTACTATATTATATACGTATGTTACTATATTATATATGAATCGATTCATATATATCATATATATCATATTGTCATATATATCATACTATGATATATAATATAGTTACATGCATCTATAATATAGTAACAGGGATTAGGTTATTGACTGTTAACTTCAAAGAAAATAAAATTACATATATATAAAAATAATGAAAATTTAGATTTATTGACTGATTTTTATTATATTATTACTGTATGAGTATAAAATCTTAATTTTATAATTTTATTTCCTGACATTTATATTTTAAGCATTACGTTTAAAAAAAAACTATAATACTTAAAATATAAATGACAGTAAATAAAATAGGATTTTATACTCATACAGTAATATAATAAAAAAATTAGTTAATCAATCTAAATTTCATTATTTTTATATATATCTAATATGACATAAAAAATATAAAATATATAAAAATAACGAAAATTTAATGACATATAAAGTAAAAAAAAACATGTCACGACGTATATATGTCATATAAAGTTATATATAGTTTTTCTTTAATATATAAACAATCTTTGTATATTTTATTTATCTATATACATATATAAATATAAAACACATATGTTATCTAACAATTATCTAAAAAGTAACAGTGACCTCTTCATACGAAAATCGCCATTATTAAAACACCTTTTAATAATGACGATTAAAACACCTTTTAATTATTTTAACAATGACATTTCGCGTTGTTGTTGTTGTTGTTGTTGTTGTTGATCTATTATTTAGAGTTGATAACGCTTGAGCAACCATGTCAGAAGCACTGTTCAGTTCATCATATCCAATAATTTAGTAATCTTTGTAGCTAGTGTGTTCTTTATATATATTCTTGTGATAGCCGGCCCATGTTAATGCGCTCAACTAGAACACATACAATCATGTGTTCATTTCATTGAATATGCTTATTGCATATCTGCTGAATCTTTTGTCACCAATCTTGATTCTGGAAGCTCTATCATCACGACTACACAAAAGTCCTCCCTCAGTATTAAAAAACATATTAGAAAATGCAGGATGACTTTTTCCCATAATCATTTTATTAATCATATTGATGATATGATTGTTTCGTCTGGTTTTAAGACTTTCCAATCCAAGTTTTTCCTGCAACGGTGAGGAGTGAGCATTACTCGGTGCTCTGGTAATAATTCTTGAAGCTATTTTCTGAATAACATCAAATTTATGAAGATGAATGTTTGCTGCTGGAGCAAAAACTGCACTACAATATTCAAGTTGAGAGCGTATGATTGAAGTGTAGGCCGATTTCAAGAGCTCCTGAGGAAGTTCATTAGCTGAGTAACCAAGCAGACCTTTACATTTAAACAAGTAAACCAAGCAGACCTTTACATTTCTTTTTAATCGCATCCATATGGCAACCATATGCTAGATGTTGATCAACTAGTACACCAAGAAGTTTAACTGTTGTCGATGGTTTAATCGAAACTCCACCCAAAATAATGTGATATTCATCTGGCAGTTTTCTACTTGGGCTTTTAAAGATGATAAATTGTGTTTTTTCAGCATTAATTGGTCATTAGACATAATAAAAAGGTTTTTCAAAACTGAAAGTGATAAATTTTCTTATTTCAGAACGGACGAGAAAAAGACGTTCATAAGACGTCTTATTATTAGAGATGTGCCGGAACCAGTTTATGCCGAGTCTCCGATTCCGGGTACCCGGCTGAAAAAACCGGGTCCGAGTCCGGGTACTCGGCATCGAGTCCATTTTTTAAAAGTTGGAATAAAATCTTGTGAAATCTCTAGCGCTGAACTATTCACACAAAATACGCTTTTTACGCTAACTAACCAAAAGTTATGTGGCGGAAGTACCATTTAGCAAAACCCCGCAATGCAGGGTAAAGGGCCTGAGAGTAAAAGGGCCTAACTTTTTTCAAAAGTTGTGCAACAGTTTTTTAATAACTATATTTAGTTTAAAATTATTTTTCTTTCCTGGTGGAGCGGGCCTAAATAATATTTTGTTATAAATATTATCGAAATAAAAATATAAAAAATGTGTATAACATTTAACTTATATCTCTACTTTTATGATTTTTGCTTGATTCGAATGAAAAGTGGTATCAGCGTTCGAAAGCATTATAAGCGTTTCATTCAAAACTAAATTGCTAAAAATTCTTGTGTTCTAACAGAATAAAAAGAAGCTATTCTAAAACTTTTTCTCCCATTCTTTTTATTCGTATTCTCGAATTATTTCATTTAGCGTTACAGTTTTTGTATCCGTATAAATTTTTTTGCAAAAATGTATTAAAAAATATTTTAAGTGAGATAAAAAATGTTTTAAGTTAATAGAACTTTGTGGTTATCGACTACATAACATTTTTAGACTTATATCAAGAACTTTAATGGTTAAAGTTTAAATTTAAGGAAAAATCAATTTGAAGATACCCGGTGCCGGGTACTGCAACAAAATGGCCGATACCGAGTACCCGGTAAAACAGCCGAACTGCCGGGTCCCCGGGTCCGAACCGGTTACCCGGCACATCACTACTTATTATAGTTCATATTGTGAATAAATCGAGCGGACGTTAACTGAACGTACATAAGACGTCTTTTTTCCGTCGTGTGCCCACTGGGTAATTTTATTTATTTTTTTTACCCAAAGAAGTATACCGTAAAAACCCCTAATTCCGGATGGTTTAGGACTAATATTGTCATAACTAGCTCAATATAAAGAATTTTGAAATAATTTTTTTAAATAAAATAAACTTCGTAACAATACAAATCGAACGATATAAAAAATATTATTTTTGCGATATAAATCTATCTTTTATTTTATTTTTAAAAAATATTGTTTTTATCCGGAATTAGGTGTTTATGTCCCTAATTCCGGATGCGTATAAAATACAGAAAAACACATACACAAATAATACTAACATTAAAGTAATTATTTTAATGTTAGTATTATTTGTGTTATTTAAATGAAATCATTTAATAAAAAAAGAATATATATTATTTTACACACATTCGTTACAAATAAACTCCATGGCTGGACGATAATCAAAGACACATTCAATGCATGACCAATTTGAACACTGCTCACACGCAAGCCATTGGTTATCTAAGTTATTTGTCCAATTAATTTCGCAAGAATAACATAGAAGATTATCAGATACTAAAATGTTATTTGAAGCTTGAGGAAAATGAGGGTCTTCTAATCCATTTTTTGTCTTTATACCTTTTTTACCTGGTATTTTAGACGACTGACTTTGTCTCAACTTTTTTTTTTCTTCTCTTTTCTGTGCATTTTTCGCTTTTTGAGTAGCAGTGGAAATCTTTTTTTGTTCTCTAGTAAATTTCTTTGCAGCTTGTTCATCTAAATTTTGCTTTTTTAATGCTTGTTCAGCTTCATCGTAAGCTATGGCATCCGCCGAAGTCATATTATAATTAGCTGGTCGCTTTATTCTCTCACTTTTTTGAACTCTTTTATTTAGAGTTGGTGTCAATTGATCTCGAAGCATATTTAACACTGATTTGTTTATATCTTTGCCCACTTGTTGAACAGCGTTATTCAAAGTAGCAAAGCTTTTAAGCAAAAATTCACGATTTGACATTCTTGACGGTGTGTTAGGTGTATTGGTAATATTTCCCATAACTAATGGACTAGATACTGTTGAAGAATCAAATAAATATTCAATATTGTTGTTTTCGACAGCTTGAAACACAGCACCAATGGAAGTTTTTTTTGAAGAAATTTGCGAACGATCGAGTGGAAATATACCAGTATTTTTGAAACCACTCCGTGCATTTTCAGGTTTAAACCCACCATTTTCGATGAGATCCTTAAACATGGCCGGAAAATATCGATTAGTTAGGCTTTGAAAGTGATTTTTAGTCAAATAACTTTCGACAATTCTCTTCCATGCGCCTTTAACTGTTTTAAAAACGCCAACATCTAGTGGCTGTAAAAAATGGCTGGTATGAGCCGGCAAACGCCAAAGTAAAATATAATTTTCTAAAGCTTTTTTTTTCAACTCTAAGCTCATATGTGAAGCATGGCCATCAAGTATTAGAACTTTAAATCCTGAAAGTTTGTTTGCGTGAGGCAAAAAAACTGTTTCAAACCACGACAAAAAATGTTCGGATTCCATCCAGCCTGAACTACTACTGTTATAATAAACATTCTGGGCACCGCCTTTGCACCAGTCTTTCATAACATGTTTGCCTTTATAAATTATTTGATGAGGTAAATAATTACCGAATGCGTCACAACAAGTCAAGATTGTCGTCATTTGCTTTTCATTCGATGGTGCTAGCTTTTTAGGGTTTTTTGTTCCTTTTCTACAAATAATTTTGACTTTGCCTTGATCAAATTGCAAACCAGATTCATCACAGTTAAATATTTGAAACGGCTTATCGCCTAAATTATGTACTTTATATGCTACTGCTAATTGCTCAAACCAACTGTCAATTATAGCTGGTTGTGTGGCCACAGCTCTAATAGTTTGCATACCGCTTACTTTCCTTGGGCAAATTTCTTTACGATATTTATTCATGAAACCGGAGTACCATTTTCTAGTCGGTTTGCCGTCTTTGAATAGACTACGTTGGTTTGATTCTTTTAAATAGTTTTCAACAACAATAAACACGTCTTTTCTATTCAAGCCGAAACCTATATCACTCATAAATTTTAATAAATCAACAATAATAGCTTCAGTGATGTTGCTCATCTTTCTTGGCGCTCCTCGATTATTAGATGATCCTTTTGTTCTGTCAAAAAGTGTAGATTTTGCCACATTATAACACTTAGCAGCTTGTACGTATGACATTTTTTTTTCAGTAATAGCTTGAATAGCTACCTGGATTCGACTCTCTCGCTCTTCTTTTTGTTTAAAATTATCCATATTCTTTTATACAGTAATACAATTAACACAAATGCGTTAACTTTATGGATGCTAAAAAAAATAGCTTTATCTCAATTATTTTTCCCTTGTGGCTATTTTATTTCTTATTATTTTAAGGTGGTAGTATGGTCAAAATTCTAAAATCATTTTTTTTAACCAAACAGTATTGATTTCATAAAATATTAAAAGACTGCATAAAAACATAAAATTCAAAAAAAAAAATAATTTTACTTTTGGACCCAGGTTTTGGGTTGTGAAACCTAAAACAGTCAATAGGTGCTGCGATAAATATTGAGACAATGGTAGATGCTATAAAACTCAAACTTTCAGTGTTTACTTGTATTATATTAAAGAACTCATGGAAGCAGAATTATAAAGTAAGCTTAAAGCACCAAGGAGATACAGCATATACAACTAACGGGTCAAATTTTACCCCCAAACAGCCCCCTTTAAAAGTCCATAACTCTGTCAAAATATAATATCAAAAAAATATACTGCTCCAATGAGTTTATCATATATATTATTACAACTGAACAAAATTTTAAAGAACTATAACAAGTAGTTCCCAAGTTATTTATCGCACCATGCTAAAAAATGTTGTTCTGAGAAAACAGCAATTTAAAAAAATTAACATTGAAAAAAACAAATTAAAATATAAAATAAGCTCTCATTCTAATCTTAAAGATTTCTAATCACTCTTCAATGTATTAACTAACAACAATATTAATAAACTAAGTTTATAATGAGTTTTAACTAATTTTTTAAGTACAATAAAGAAGTTAGTATTCTTGTTAAAAAAAATATAAAAACTTCGAACTAAAAAAAAAATAAATTATGATAATCAAATTTAAATTTTTAAAATAAGTAGTTATATCAATTGAAATATAACAAAACCACTCAAAACTGCCAGAGCTTTAAGCTACTTCTTTACTTTCTTCATATTGATCACTAAAATCTTTTTATTTTGCCCTTATTTGTTTCTGACATTGCTTTACCTCATCAGTCAAATTTTTTTTAGCAATATTTTTAACTATTTGACAATCTCTTTGTTTGCAAAATGTAATACAGTTTTTGTTAGGATTTATACCAAGCTCTTAATAAACATTTAACAAACCAGTTAATCCTTTATTGAATTTAATAACAGCTGATGCTGCACCTTTCTCTAAAGCAATTTGCCCCACACAAACATTTTTGGACTTCGATTCCAATTTATTGCATTTAAGGCTTCATTATTGTTTCGAGTTTTTGCATGAAGGCACTTTTTTAACAAGCTTTTATCTGATAATCTATGAATACTGGTTATGTCCCTAATAACAATAGGCAGTCCAGGTTTTCCTTTATTAACATATGTTTTATCAAATTTATATCCTTTATATTTGTAATTAGTTTGAGGACACATAGCATGTCTTAAATCAGAAGATAATGGCTCAGAGTAGTTAAATAATACAGCTTCAATAGCTTTTATTAGTTTATTAACAGATTTCCCACAACATTGACAAATCACAATTCCAAAATAATTTTGTAACATCGCAACTACTGAATGTTATTATATATCAAAAAACTTTTCAGAAGTTTTACTGGCAACTTTTTTACTAGTATACAATTTTGTTTACCATAAAAGTTTAATGCAACTCAATAGCAACAAAGAACTTAAATCTTTTTTCTTTTTATAATCTATATTAATATTGATTGAATTGCTCTCAGTCAGGGCATGTTCCAACTAAAGTAAGAGTTTGTACAATTATATTAAGATCAATTAAAACAAAATTAGACTCCTTTCTTCTTACTTTGAAATAGTTTACTTTAGGTTTATTATTGGCAATAACATTGCTGGTTGATGTTGTAAAGTTAAGTAAAATGCTAAATTTTTAGCATTTCTATCAATTAATGACAATTCTTGGCTCGCAGAAGTATCTATATATTTTGGGAAAAAAATTGCCAAACTTGATTTTTTGAAGTGCTTTATCTTTTTTTAAACACTCTTTAGGCACCAGTTTTTCTTCTTCTTAAAACTTCAGTTTTCATATTAATTGATTAGAAATAATAAATTTATTTTAATCTACACTGAATAGTTTATAAAACAACAATAAACAATCATACTCTAGATATATTCAACATTAGTAACTGAAATAGATAACATGTGTTTATGTAATGATAGTCAACAAGATAACTGCTTATATAAGTGCTGGTTTAATGTTTTTAAAAAAGAAGCCAAATTCACTTAGTAATTTCTCTAAGAAAATACTTTTTTCAGGGAGTTCAATAAGATGATATACATGGTGTTTACCTTGTTGCTATGCCGTTGCTAAGGAGCAATATTATATAGTACAACTTTTTATATAAAAAATAGACGGTTTTATATAGAATACATCAAAAAAATCGTTTTCAGCATGAATGAAAATGTTAAGAAGTTATATTAAAAAAAAATCAAAAAATTGGAAATTTTTGACCATACTACAACCTTAATGAACATAATATATTTCATTATGTGCATGAAAGTGATAAAAAATAAAATAGCCAATTGTAATTAACTGTATCCGGGACTCAAAAGTGTTTTGTTTATTGCTGCTGGCTAATTTGTTTATTATTTTTTCTAGGTACATAAAATAATAACTACCTCTATCCGGAATTAGGTGTCTTTTTTTTTTTGGCTGGAAGCAAATTTGTTTTTTATTTTTTTCAATTATTTCAAAAGGAAATTTAATTTTTTTTTGGCTAAAATAATCAGCATAAAATTCTGCACAAAATAGTGTTTTTACTTTTTTAATTTTTTTGTTGCAAGTCAAAGTTTTTTTTTTTCCTTTTTTTTTGTTTTTTTAGTTATGAGAGATTTCAAATTGAAATCTTTCATGATTGCACTAGTTTATATATTTTTTTTATATATATTTTTTGATTTGTCTTGTAAAGACGTTTATTAATTAAAAAAAATTATTCATAAATTCATTATATAAAGGGAGTTATGAAACTTTTTATTAAAACCATCCGGGATTAGGTTACATCCGGAATTAGGGGTTTTTACGGTATATTCTATGTATACTTAACAAATATTAAATTCAGGGGCGCTCGTGGCACCCGTTTTTAGCAGCCATTTACATATAATTTATTTATTTATTTTGAGTTCAATAATATAAATGTTTTGAGAATAATTTATTTAAGGGTCATCCATTAAGGACGTCATCCAAATAGGGGGGGGGGGTCGAGTTAAAAAAGGTCAAAAAAGGACAAGGGGATGGGGAGGTTGTCAGAAGAGGACGTCACTTTATAGATTTTTTAATTTAGTTTAATTAACATGGAAAACTACGTAAACATATGTTTTTGGGAAGATATTGTATAAGAATATTTTTAATTTTATTTTTCAAAGGTGTAGCAGCAGATTCAAACATTATTGCAAGATGAAATAAATATATTTGGAGTGAAAAATAGGGAGGAGGCTCAGGATGTTATGACGTCCTTTTCCAGGGGGTATAGGGAAAAAGAACAACCGGTGACAAAGGGGGGTGAGGGGGTCAAAAATTGGCTAAAAAATGGTTAAGTTTCTTTATGGATGGCCCCTTAGAACTAACGTTAATAATACTCATTCAAAGTCATACAAATATATAATTTATTATATGTTTGTAATTAGATGATTATTTACTATGTGAAGTGAAACTTTTGGTTTTTTTAAAATTTTATCAAAACTGATATTGAAATGTTTCACCGGATGATGACGTCTAAAATAATTGATTAACTACATAAAGCGCGTAAAAATAGTTTATTTTTATTATTATAAATAACCGCTAATTAGTAATAAATTACAGCATTATGGAATAAGGGAGCCATTGACCTGGGTAATTATGTATTATATTGTCTAAACATGCAAACTTTTATTTTGCAACAATTTTTTCTAGGTTTTCAGATTACTCACCACCTATCAGACTAGAGTAAGTGTTATCGAAACATTCGGTGTCTGTTGTAAAAGCAAAAAACTCAGTGGAATAAATGATAGGAATTAATGATGTATACATATCCCAAGCAGTAAAAGAAAAACAATACAAATAAAACTCACTTTTATAGAGTTTAAGCTATATATATATAAAGTTAAACTATATAAAGTTTGCAACTAGGATAAGTAATTTTCAAAAAATAAAAAAGAATTAATATTCATATATTAGTTGTACCCTATTGAAAAAGGGTACAAATAATATATGATTATTGATTCTATTTCTGGTAAAATGACTAAGTTTTGACATTAAAATAATTTTTTTCATTACAATAACAATAAACTATTATATTATAAAGATGAATTACAATACAAAATTTATTGTTATTGTAGTGGGTTATTACAATACTTTTTTTTTCAGATATTGTTATTTTATTATGAAGATGAATTGCAATACAATATTTATTGTTATTGTATTATCGTATTACAAAAATTGTAAACCACAGGTATTATTATTTTTTCTAAAAAAATAATACAATAACAATAGTTATTGTTTCTGTTATTGTTTTCATTACAATTACAACAGTCCGAATTCTAGATGTGTAATTGAATATTTACCATACCTCAAAGTATTATAGGGATGTAAATTTATTACATCCGATTATTAATGTTTCTAGTTAAATGTGAATGTATAAATCGAGTTTCAGTGAAGAAGTTTGTAATAGAGGAAGGTAAATTTTTATTAAGGGAGTCAAAAACAAAAAGAAGATTAGCAAATTTAATTAGTGCTGATAAGGTAGGAATTTTAAGTTTTTTGAAGAATTTTGAAGTTTCTGTATTATGGAGTCGAAAATTAATTATTCGGATTGCTTGGCACTGAGCTGATAACAATTTATTAATATTATAGTTGCCAATTTGTCCCCAAATTTGACAACAGTAGATGAGGTGAGATAATATAGATTCTTAAGGGTAGTTTATCAACATAATGGCGAATTATAGAAAGCATGCCATTAGCTCGATTAAGTTTTTTACGGAGTGCATCTATATGAAAATTCTATGAGAGGTTTGAATCTATTAAAAT